AATGTAAAAATCTTGGGGGTCATTTTTTGACGATCGCCATACTTTCCCTCTTATAACAGAATCGGGAAAGTAAAATAGAATTTAGCAAAACATGAATTTACTGTACAGTACTTTCAGAGAAATAATACCACATTAAATCAATATTTAAATTTCGAGAGAAATTTTTAAAATATTTTTATAAATATTAATTTAACAAACATTTTTTTTTTGTTTTTTTATAGTTGTGAGAGAAACTTAAAATATTTAAAATCACCAAATTATATATCACAATCTAAAACTCTTTTATTTTGAATTTCATTTTGTTCAAATATAAATTCGCTAATTAAAACTGAAATTAGTAATAATGATGTTTATATATTAAGTAACTACATTTTTCCTTAATTTTGTTACATTTCAGGAACAAGCAAGAATTAAAATTAGAAATAAACTGAGAGATAAAATGTGTCTTTAAATATTTGATCTCAAATACATTTCTTTTCTATTGGTCTTTGTTTCGTTGAGTTAATACTTATAATAGAATAACTTGGAAAACATTTTTATTTACAAATAATTACAAAAAATCCTGGAATAATTATCTTTTCTGTCTGAGTCGCTTGTTCTATGAACTTTTATAGTTGTATCCCTTTTAACAAGATTAAAAATCTGTAGTTTGAGTTTAAAACACAGAAAAAGTGAACATTGTTCCTAGATATTTTTATCTAACTTATTTGCAAGTACTTATATTGTATTTTCGATTCCATTTATTTAAAACAATCAATGAATAGAAACATTTTAATGAATGAAATATCCGAGTTTACAATTTAGTAAAAAAAAAAGTCAGCAGATTTATTTGAAATGAATTTATTTCCTATTTTTAAAAGGTAATTTCAGTTTCTTTTTCTATATTTACATATAAATGCATTACAGTTTAACATTTATTTCAATTATATATCTATGTTTATTCTATATCTTTTATATATTATGCAACCTGTATATAGTATATATAGTTATATAGTATGGTAACCTGCAAAAATAACGTGTAAAATGTTTATTACATGACAAACGTTTTCAATCCAAAGCAAAAATTTAAAAAAATTATAATGTAGATTGCGTTGATATTTAAACAACATTAGCATATCTACAACTTGCAAGTGAAGTACTCTTGTAACTCTTATTAACTTTTGGTTCTAAGATACGTCGCTGTCTCAATAGAAAATTTTAACAATAGATCCACTGACAGGTTTTCCTTTAAGGAGGATGACTTTACAATTAAGGAAAATCTTTTTGTCATTATATTCTTTGCATCTGACAGATCTCAAGTATTTAAAAACTACTTCAAACACTTTTTCTCTCCAGATAATTGTTATACCTTTATTGATTATTACAAACACAAAATTCAATTTCATACAAAATATTTATTACTTTTAATCTTATTTTTGTTTATGAAAATAAATCTAATGCGCTATACATATTTTGTAGTAAAAACGCTTACAGTATTTATATAAATGCGAAATAATTTAATGATAAGGGTGCTGTTTGTTGGTTGTTAATGCTGGACGTGCGTGCTATACAAAAGATCATTTAACATCATGTAAATGTAAAAATTTACTACACGAATCTTTTCGATTTTTGCAATGAAAGTGTCGAGTTTTTATTCACTTTTCTTTTGATTCTTTATTATTACCGAACATTAAATATCAAAACCCTAATTACTCTCTCTATTGCAGTCATCATCATCTAAGTTAAAATGCATACAAATAACTGTCAGGCATTAAATTAATTCTCGTAATTTGATTTTTTCAAATTATTTTCCTAATCATTTAAATTCCATAAGCTAGATATTTCTAATGAAAATTACGCTTTTTTTTTAATAAAAACAAACATAGTTTCTGACTCTACGAATCAATTTTTTGAATTTACTAAGCCTAACATTGGCGTGTTTTTATTTTGCCTGAGGCCCCAAGAAGCATATATTTTTACACCTATACCATGTTATATTTAATGTTTTTATTAAAATATATAATTTATACTTTTATTTGAAATAATTAACTTATCAAGTGTTATTTTCCCTCAAATAAACAGATAAATCATATGAGGACTCCTTAAAATTATGACTCCAGACAAAAATGATTGTTAATCGGGAATCACCGGAGAGACAGACAGACGATACACATTGCAGTGGTTAAAGTATATATCTTCGTTTAATTAATTAAAGAAGTGATACACAAATAATTGTTAACATAACTGAAGGACGAACGTCCGTACGTGACGACAGATCGCAGTTGGGAAAAACAACGGAAGACAAAGGTCAATAAAACTTTTTGTTTTTTGGGAAGGCCCCTCTAGTGGACCAAATTGATTTGCGCCGAAAGTACCCACAAAAATATCCGTTTTTCCTACTGTATAATGCGCTATTTTTCTAGTAGAGATGATTTCTTGCACTAGTATATTATTATTATTATCATCAATATTATTTAGTGGGTTAAATTAATCTGATAGATAATTTTTAGCTTTTAAAAAAACTAAATAGCAATGATTAATACTATAAAGCTGGAATTTTAAAACAACAAATGAAGTGCATCTCAAGCAAAAGAAACTGCATATTTTTATATACCAAATAAATAACTTTATAACTTTTGAAATTACTGTACTTCAAAAATAAAACAATGACAGATTTATATTATAAAATTATTTTTTTTAAATCAATTCGATTTCCAAGACTATTTTTTTTCTATAGTGAACTAGAAAATTCAGAACGCAGTGTGGCAGATACAGCGTGGCAAAAGCTTCGACTTTTTCTATAGGCTATAATCTGTACGTAGGTTTGTAAAAATGAAATTTTTTGTAGTGTAACCACTACTTCCTCTAACAAAATCGATTTTTCAAAATAAATGCTACCGAATAGAATTTCGTTAATTATTTATTAAACAGAATAGAAATAATTACTTGTTATACCATTTCTTTAGCACTTTTGCTGGGAATCTCATAAAGGAATGTCAAGAGAGATCGGGCTACTTTTGTTTGTTAATAATAAATATAGGCCTACATGTAATAAGAACGAGCTCAACTTGATTAAACTGAATCATATTCTCCAGATTTTATTTTTGTACTATTAGGACCATCCAAATTTTCTTTAGTTGTAGCACACACTATATTTTAAGTTAACATAATAAAACGTTATAAAGCTTTGTATAACTAAACCGGAAAAAATTTATCAGAAATGATACTGAATATTGGCAATTTGACCATAAAATATGCATATATTCTATTATTAGTAATAGCGTATAGTTTAACGTTTACTCGTTTTACATCTCCCTGGTTTGGTTTGATAGGATATGGCAACTCAACACATGGGCGATCTGCCAAGTAGGAATGACTCCCAAAATGACTTTCTATGAGAAACTGATCCTCTATTTAGGTGACGTAAATAAAACCCGAAAAACTCCATGTAGCCAGCCTATTGGTCAGGCACGAACCTGCGATCAACTACCAGTGCAATTATAATAATTACGCCATATTTTTTTGTATATGATTGTGAGAACCAGGGCTAGTTTTTGAAATTTCGACGATCTTAGTCTTATTTAATTTGCATTCAAAAAACTCAAAGGGAGAAGTAATTTATTTTCACAAATTCAACAGAGGAACTTCGCAAGATTTTCCCATTGATAACACTTTCTTCGTGGGCGACACATTAAAAAAAATACTACTACTTATCGAAGGAACTCTCACCAAAAATCGGGGATTGGACTAATTACCAGCTCCTCGCACAACGTTACCAAATTTGGTCATCTGAATAGCAGGGGGGATAATCCCAAATAGGAATAGAGGGCAAAGATCAAGGGAAAGTTCGACTGCCCGGTTTCAAGGTGTGTTTATCCCGCAGTACTCCACCGATCTTCTCGAATCTCAATATTTTTACCGAATCTTGACCATCCGACTTTATTACTGCGGACTGCAGACTATTTAGGAGAAAAAATTTATCAACCCACGTATGCAACTGTAAACGTTCTCTCTCTCATTTCGGCGCGCTTTTAGGATTAGACTCTACCACTAATTCTATTCTCTTTGTAAAATTCTTATAAACTTGAAAAATAAATATTTGTCGTTTAATGGTAAGTGTGCCCTCTAAAATTTCTCCATTCCTTACTCGTAAAAGTTCTAAATACGTGGCCACTCGAGAGGTTCGAAGGTTCCTGTGAGCCGAAAAAACACGAGTGGTTTCACCCGAGGGGGACTGCCGTCCTGTGTCGCATGGTATAATATAGTTCGAGTTTATTTCTGAGTGTCAGTTGAAGTTTTTATTCTTAGAAATAAACTCCAGTGTTGATCTACGGATAATTAGTTTGACTTACCACGACTCTCTTAACGACGTTTTCGTAGGAACCAATTACTTACGTTACTAAAAGCGGGGTTCTCTTAATTTGAATTTTTCTTAAACACTTAGTCCGTTTTATCTGTATCATTACGGAAAATGAATAATTCAGCTTTTCTGTAATCTAAGGAGCATTTTAAAAACTAATTCTAGTCATAAAAGAAAACAGTATTACAAATATAATCAGTTGCAGTAAACTCGGGATTATTTTTAGATATGGTTTAACAGCATTCTTTCTATAAGCCTCTTAAGTTGCTGGTGTGATTCGTGTTTATATATCATTCTGACAAAACAAAAACTGTCCTCCAATTCTTCATCAATCTTCAAAAAATAAAAACAATGAAGGATGTCCTTTTGACGGTTCATCCCGGCTTTACTAAACTTCTAACCATTATTTCTTACGTGAAGAATTAACGTCCAGGAAATAAATAGCAGATTTACTTTCTTTGCGAATTGCTTGCTCATTGCCTAATCTTTTTCATTGAAAACATTCTCATGGGATAATATATAATACATATGAAGTTTATTTTTTTCAACAGTTATTCCTTAAACCTTAGAAAAGAATTACATGTTTAAATTTAATTTTAAATATTTTTAAAATAAATAACTTATTCTGAGAATATTCAAATTAAATTTAGAATTATTTCAGGATGATATTTCCAACCTAATTCTTCGTTATAACGAATTCGGATATCTGGATCAATTACAGAAAAAATGGTACGGAAGAGTCCCATGTTTCAACGACTCTGTCCACAGATTAAACAAACCAAAACCCTTGGGAGTTCGAGCTGTGGCTGGTGTCTTTATTATGTTGGGCGTTGGGCATTTAGTAGGAATTCTGATACTCTTCATCGAACACATGGTCTTCAAATATGCTTTGCCTATTCTTCGAGAAAAACCTAACGAATGTATATGGAAAAATTTAAATCTGATGTTTTTTAGTCAAGTAAGTATTATTTGTTATTTTTAATTATATCTAAGATTTTTTTTTTATATATTTAAAGTAGAAGGTAGCTTTTATTCTTTTTCTTTCTTTACAGCACCAATGAACAATTTAAGTTGTCTTTTTTTCCACAGAAATTGTATCGTTTTATCAATACAGTTGAATTAGTATCTCCTCATCACTCCGCCAAAGAAATTGCTACAAATCTCAGAGAAGGACAAATTTTCAGCCTCTTCCAAAAAAGTGTTAAAAGAGTATGTTCAATCGCTTTTAATTAATTAAAATTTCATCAGAGTATCAATCGCTTCTACAATTTCTCGTATTCTTTTATAGAAAGCAAAGGAGGAAGCGAGGAGAAGAAAAAGCAAATCTCAGTTTTTCGAGATGATTCAAGAAATACGCAAAGTGTACGTTCAATTTTTTATTATACGGATTATTTATTATACTGTAGATGTCGTGCGTTTTAATTAATTTTGCTCTATTTTTATACAGAGTCCGTCAGCAGCAACACGAAATAAAAATCGGTGCCACGCGAATGGACCAACAACCACGTTTGGGTATCCAGACTCACACTACTGAACCCAAAATCTTAGATAATCGGGACACACTCATTGTACATCACAACGATTCGATTCCGAAGCTCAAACAAGTGGACGTTCACAAGTCTTCGCCTAAAATGAGAAATATAGTAGCAGAGGCATATAGAAGTAACATAGTTAGTTCCTATTCATTGGAGTACGACGACAATTTGTTAACTCCGTCAAATTCCTCGACTTCTAACGATACTTCTCCTTCGGAATGGCACGGTTTCAGTTTCAGTTTCGAAGATCTTAGCACTCTTCATTCGGAAGAGCCTCAAAGGACACGATTAATACGTAAAAAGTGTCGCGTGTCGTCTTTAGAAGACTTAAGAATTCTTAAAAAAACTTCTTTTAATAGAGATGAATACGTTAATGAAAAACATAAGAAGCCTTTAAAACAGCGCAGCAAAGAAATCAACGAATTAAGACTTTATTCAATGACCAAAGAAGAAATCATCTGCCTTTGGCAAGCATCGGAAAGGGTACTGTTGAATCGCTTAAGGGAAGTATTGAGAGAGAAAAAGGCATTAGAAGAAAAATTGGCTTTTATACAAAAAACTCTACTTAAGCCACCATGAATTCATTAGTTCATTAATAGGTCAAATCAACTTCTAACTACAATCAACATTGATGTGTTGCAAATTGACTTCCATGCGGTTCCATTATTCTCAATAATAAGATTCTTAACAAAGTATTGAGACCAGTATTTATACCTCTTAAAAACATTAGTTTGGTTTTTAGATTTTGAAATGTTTCCACTAATCTGGGATCTAGATCATTTCTTAGAGAGAAATTCTTAGTTTTGAATGTGTTATTGTTTATACTTTTCATTATTATTATTTCCTGCTTTAGTTACCTCCCATAGAATTGAATATAGAAAAAAAAGATTTAGCTATACAGGAGACCATCTTACCAACATTAGAAACAAGTATAAATTATTTTAAATTTGTGGTCAAGTTTCCCTGTATAAAAACTGGTTGTTAATAGTATAATTATTATATAAATAGATAAATGCCTTGAAAATTTTAGGAAAGTAGATTAAAAATTAATAATTTTAAAGAAAATATTCTTCATATACTGTGATTCAAATTGTGTAAATTTAACTGTTTAAGAACTATATAAAAGATGGTCTCCAGATATATATACTGTATAGAAAAGAATGTAATTTTTTTAAAAGAGGATAAATAATAATATTTTCTTTCCAGAAGTGTGCACTAGTAACGCAGAAAAATCAAAAAAATTTAAATAATAATAATAATAATAATAAAATAAATACCTTCCGTTCTAATAGTTTGTAAATGAGGTTAATTGTCCATTGAACTGTCGATAGGGATTACTTTTAGAATTAGGATTTAGCATCATTCTTGCTAATATAGTATTTGCCCTTTTAACTGCCATTATATAAATAAGGGGGCTTAGATACTATTCTCTCTTCTAAATATTTATCTATCGTCTCTCTTTGTGTATTTGTGTCTGAGGAAATTTGGTGCCAGAAAATACATTTAAAAAAAAAACCATAAATCCATGCGATAGAGGAAGAAGTATTATTACTATGCACATCATTAATGATGCAATTTTTTGATAAAATATCTTACCTACTGATAGAATGCCCATTATCTTGCAATTTTAGCCAGTATATACTGTATTATATATATTTGTGTGTGTGATTTATTTTCATCCCTTTTTTAGATCTAAGATATGATTTAGAGATATCTGATTTTGAATTGAGGGGGAAAAAACTGATCAAAACAATCGTGTGATATTAAAAAAAAAAGATATTATTAATATACTATATACAGTATAAATATTATATAAATAAATATATATATATATTATAACATGGCACTGGAGATATGTTGTTAATTGCCCTGTTGTTTATTCAAAATAAAAAGGAATATTTTCGATCTGTTTCTGATTCTAATTTTTTATAAGCGGATATGATGTAATACTAATGGTATTTATACATACGGAAATGACGTTTTATTAAGAGATATTAAGCGCCACTCACGTTCAAAACAGTTATGATTGTTTGTGATTAAAATATTGCATCGGGATCATCTTAATTAACGGATCATATTTTTAAAAATTATAAATTAATTAAAAACGATATAAAAAAGGTTAATTATATTAAGACACCGCGTCATAAATATCTTTCCCCCCTAACTAATGCCATCTGACGTTTAATGGAACAACTAATTTTCTCATTATTGCCTTATTGGTTACATAAATAACGTAATTGATTTATAATAGGCTTAATTTAAATGAAATGACAAAATAAATTCCTTCTCTTCTTTAAAAAAACGTCAGGTTTCAAAATTCGATCATCGATCATTTCTCCCGATTAATTAAAAAAGCCACCGGTAGATGGTACATTATCGGTGGAAGAATGTACATTCGGGCCGATCACGTGATCGAGAAATTCAATCTTTTGGGAATCGCCATTTGTAGATAATTGCGCGATAAATCAGTCTCGATTCGTATTTAATGATCTAATTATTACGTTAAAGTCGTTTTAAATGGAGTAAATATATGCAATTTCCAATCTAATTCGCGCACCAGAAAAGAAACGCGGAGGAGGAGGGAAAAAAACTCGCGTGAATTGTCCGTAAAAGAAAAGTTCCAATAATTTATTTTAATGCGAAAATAAAATAAACGAATTTTCTTAAAGAAAAATAAACAAACAAATACTGTCGTTTTTTATTTTAAAAATCAATTCAAAATTTGCATATTTAGAAATATGCAAATTTTGAGTTGAAAAGTTTAAAACGCGTTGGAAAATTCACAAAAAATAAAATAAAAAATTATATTAATCATTATAAGAAAAAATATTCTGTAAATACGAAACTCTTCTCTCGTATTTACTAAATTTAATTGTAAATATTGTTTTTTACAATATTGTGTTATACAATTACAATATTATAATATTGTAAAAATGTTGTAAATGTTTCATTGAAATGTTTCCCTTTCATTTTAAATAAACTATTTGAATTTTATTATATTGAGATTGTCCAAAAAGAATCATCCAATTTGGAGATTAACTTTCATTTGCAAAAAACAAATTAAAAGTCAAGATCTTGCTATATTAAATATTGCATTGTAGTATATTTATTTATTTCAAATGATTTTAAAAAATTATTTATAATTAATTAAAATGATTAAATAAAACTATTTGAAATTTAAAATTCCATTAAAAGATGTTTTTAATTTCTGTAAAACCAGAAAATTTTACTTTATCAAACAAATTTGCAAATAACTACTAAAGGAAAATATTTTTCATCTACAATAATGTGTTCTGAATATATTTTCTAATAACCAAAAATGTTTCTAAATTATAGGAAACTAAATCAATACTTACAACATTCTTATGATTTAAAAATTTTTTATGCTAAAAAGATTAATGCTACAATCAAAAGATCAATGAAAGTGCTAACTTCATTACAAATTTTTAAAAATTCAATTTTACTATAATAACCTGTTCATTTTCAAGTTGCTTAATAAAAAGTTCAGGAATAGAGTATAGTGTGTGTGTGTGTGTGTGTGTGTGTGTGTGTGTGTGTGTGTATAAGTAATTTGATAATGCATAACAACAATCTTTCATTTAAATACTCTTAAACAATTAAATAACAAATAGCTTAAACAAAGATAAACATTCAAACTCACTATAGAAATCTTTCTAAATGAACAATGGTCTGATAGAGTTTAGGCTCAAATCATAGGCCAATCTTCATTTGAGTCATGTTGAGTTAACTAATGTCTGTCAAACTACAGGTCAAAAATGTTTATAATAAAATCCAACTTTTTGATTTCCTTGTACTTCAATAAAATGCCAAATTTTGTTTAATTTTAAGAAAGAATAAACTTATATTTTCATTTGTAAAAAACAATTACTAAAACTAATTACAAGCAATCAAAAACCACTCAATGGGCAGAGGTATGGATGACCTGCCACTCCGGAAGACTCGGATTATAGTCCGACTCATATCCTCGGATATTTTTATGGATTATCTGACACGGACACGTTTAGATCCATTCTTTATTGCCCGGTCGTATAACGAGAGCCTGGTTAATCTGCGACAACACGAAGAAAGGTCCTCTTAATTAATATCCACAGAATAAAATTTAAGAAAATAAATAATTCAAGTAAATTATAATTTTTTTTCATTTTTAATATTAAATATTTATTTAAAATCACTTCAAATTACCTATATTTTTAAAAATTAACTATATGTAATATAATTAAATATGAATAACAGAATTAATATTCGATTATAAGAAATAAAATGAAAAAAATCATCTAGTAAAATTTATAATACATTTTTAATTTATATAAATTATAATGATACAATACAATGTTTCATTATTAAAATAGGAATAATTTAAAACAGCACATAACAAATGATTTATATATAAATTATGCTTACAAGACAAAAATATGTATTTATAATCAAAAGATAACATTTTAATTATATAATAATGCTTTTCACTAATTGAAGGGACAACAAAATAAGTTAAAATGAAAAAAAATACTAACAGCAATAAATGAATAAATACAATGTGCTTCTATAATAAAACATTTTCAATGTAAAAAAACTCTCAAATCTATTCTTTATTATATTAAACTCAACTAAAATCAATTTTATTTTACTTTTTAATGAAATATATTTATTTAATTTTAAATATTTTCTTTGAATTTTAATATTTCTACAGTTCAATTTATATAAAAACATTTTCAAACAAACAAATTAAATTACATTCAAAATGACGAAGTTAATTTTGTTACTTCGGTTGACTTTGATTATTCTTCGGTTTTGAAAATGTTTAAAATATATTTGGTGTAATGAATACTTTGTTAAAATAAATAACCAAATTTTACTTTTGAATACTTCTGATTAATTCATTCTATGTGTGGACGGAGATTTTATTTATTTATTAATTGGTTGAATATAATAAAAATTGCAAATGGCTGAAAATGTGAGTAAAAGTACTTCAAAAATTGTGATAAGAACTAGTACTGTTTGAAATTCTATTACATTATTTACATCTTAAATAATTAAAATTCTTTTATTTAATTCAAAATAACATGTCTTAACTTTTTAAAAAATTATGCTTTGGTCACAATTGGTTTGTGTCGCTATCAAATGAATGGCATTTTTATATGTGAAAATTACTATTTCCATTATATTATATAAGTTTATTATATTACTAATTAATGAAATGTATTCATTATTTGTGCAACATTAAGAAAAATGAAAAATTGCAAATACTTTTGCACTTTTCAATAAAGCTACTTCTTAATATTCAAGCAATGCAATTAAATCAAAAATGGTTTGAATCCTGTACATGAGATTCGAATATTTAAAACTAAATATATATATATATATATGTATTTGTTAAATAAGGTTAAATTTATAAACAAAATTGTACACAATATCTGTATGAGGAAGATGATATTTTTGTTTAAAAAAGTTGTTTTCTCTTATTGTTCTGATAATTTAATTCTGATGGAAATGGCTGTTGCATTGTTAGATTATGTTTATATTCAAAATTTACAAATTGTGAAAAACTACAATTAGAATAAAAATACTAAAATACCATAGATCTATCCAAAACATTTCTAGACACAATACATCTCCACAAACTGCACTTATGCTTGCATTTACATTTAATTTAATACTCCTATAAATAGATTCATGTTTCTAATTGCATCATTCTTTCTTAATACTGGGCAACTCATCATTTATTTTACATATATATAATTAGACATTTGCCATTATAACTTTGATTAGAGATAGCTTACATTTGAATTATATTATTGCTGCCAAACCTGCAATCTTGACAAATGAGAAATACTTAATAAACTAATCATCAAAATCATCGTCCTTTATTCATATGTCAGTTTTGAGTGTTATATTTCAACATGCAAAAAACAAATATTGCTTGATGCATTCAACTAATTTCTGTTATTGTTTTGTGTGCATTGCTATAGATAAAACTTTTAGTCCATTTTTTAAAGACAGAATTATATTCATATCTCTTTTGGCAATTTTGTATCTTCAAATTATAGTTTACATCTTAAATATATTGTTGACCATACTAGACAGAAGTACATATACTTTTACTTTTCCACCTGTCATATATACACAGTAACAGAGGAAAAGTATGGCAATCAATCAAAAAATGACTCCTCAAGATTTTTACATTTTTAAACTCAGGATCTTGAAATATTGAGAAATGCAAAAAAGTTGTGGTTTTCTGTATTATGAATGGATGTTAGTGTGTGTATACATGTGGGGGAGAATGATTTCGTTCATCCACTTTGAAGCTTAATAACTCCTGTGACTTTTCTTGAAAATTTCTGAAATTTTGCAGGAAAGTTTGTATATTAGGACATTGATGCTATTATATTTCGGTTGTTAAAGATCAAGGTGGTGGGGAGATCAAGGAGAGGGGGGTCATGTCATATCTCAAGTGGGGTGAACTAATGAAAATTTTACTCATTATTAGCATTACATTTTTTTTTTATAAAACTCATCTCTTCCCTCAAAATTAAGCTTTTTTGCCTTTTGCCATTTTGTATAGTTAAAAATATAAAGTTTTTTAATAAAATTTCATAACAGATAATGCCACATACAATTTTTTGTTTTCTGGAAAAATTTTACAACTCATTGATTGATATATATATATATATATTAATTTTAAAATAAAAGGGTAATAAATGTCAGTAAAGAGCAAGAAAATATGTCTATTTATTTGTTTAATGTAATAAAACATAATTTTTTAACCAATGTTAAAATTTATCACAAATGTATTCAAATTGTACTTTTACACTGAACCCCTCAAATGTAATCTACTACAATCAATATTAACAATATTAGTCAAATAATTTCTAAGGTTATATAAGTTATTATGAATACAATAAAGTTTGTATAAGTACATACAATATAGAACATACCTATGAACATAAAATCATCTTAAAAATAGTTATGTAAGTATTATATTTATATATGATTTATTTTGTCAATTATTCTTAATAAAATAAAATAATATCAAACTCTATATAATTAAGAATAGAATTATAAAAATAAAATGATGATTTTACATTTACAAGAATTTTCCATATATGTACAGTATTTATGTAAACTTCATTACATGTATTCATAGTAATTCACATATTTATGAAGATTAAATCATAAAAGTCATCTGTTCAACACACAATAATATTGATTATAATAAATTATATTTATAGTATGAAATAATAGTACAATAAAATGTTATATTGTTAAAATCTAAGAGTACAATAAGCTCTGCTTGTAAATTTTATTCACAATATATAAGAAATGAAAATTATATCTATGTTTCTGAAATTTAAAATGCTTATAAACTTATCCAGATTTATTTTATGATCCTGAGCACTTTAATGAAATGTTGAAAAGTATTTGCAATTTTTCAATAAATTTAGTATTCTCAGTAAGTCAAGTTGTATTGTATTCTTCACTTTATTAATAAATCTATATAAATCATTAGTTTTACTATATTCTATGGTTTCGTTTGTTTTCATTACATTATAAAGACAATCTACATCAGGTTGAAAGACGCATATAAAAACCTAGTTACTAAAGTAATTCAACACTTAGCGACTTATTTTTCAAATTTCATAAAACGAAGATATCAACCCTCAGTCTTTGACTCTCAAACCAACAACTTATCATTTTGTCTAAACACAATACAAAGAATGCTGACATTAGTTATCAGATTCAAATATCAATTAATTATATCATTCTTTTAATTTATTAATTGATTATCCTTTGAAAACCAATCACTTTTACAGTAAGATCATTAATATAAAGATCAGATTTCACAGAAAAAGCATATATGGCACAGAATGTGATTTCTAAATGTGTGAATATGGTAAATAAAACAGAAATTCAGTATGAAAAAGTTGACGAATTTAAAATAAAATGACACACTATTTAAAAATACAATTCTATAAAACAAAACATCATACATTGTTCTTATTTATAAAAATAATTTAAACTTCTAAAATTTTTGATTTTTTAATGTTTCTGAAAACATAATTATAGTAACAAATCATGAAATCTGTCTTTATTTTGTACATATTTATTGTTATCATAAATATCTAAAATACATTCAAATCTTCATTAAAATTAGCTATTACAAAATTATTTCAAACNTCAAGATTTTGCTATATTAAATATTGCATTGTAGTATATTTATTTATTTCAAATGATTTTAAAAAATTATTTATAAATGCAAATATGCTACAAAATGAATAATAATAAAAATAGTTAATTATTAATTTCTATAATAACATATTTTAGTTCATCAATTCTTATAGAAATTTGCATTGAAAATATGTGATAAAAGTAATAAAAAAACCAGTAACAAAATATTAATCAATAAAGTATTATCACCATAACAAGGCATAATTGTACCAATCTAAAATATCATTCATTACAATATTATTTTTGTCTATTCATGAAAATCATTTATTATAAATTAGTTTATTTACTGAAAAACTTGAGTTAAATGTAAGAACCAAATTTATCTATTAATCCATGCCATTAGTAATTTTAATTTCTTTTAATTCATTATCAGCTGATTCAAACAAAATGTATTCTTATTTTCATCCAACTTTCACTTGAATCACTCATCTTTCTGAATTGAGATGAATTTCCTTCTTATATCGAGTTACTGCAATCATATTTTTCACTTTTAATAGCAAAAACTCAATTGTAATGACCCTACATTGAAAAAATCATCAATTGGGAAAAATGAATCAATCCAATCAAAAGTTGTTAGTCTGAATGCATTATTAATTAAAAAACAAATTTTCATAGTTTTGAGGCAGAAAGTTTTGTAAGGAAAAAGAACCATTTAGATTCTTGTTCAAACATTTACAAAATTAAAAACAGTTATTTTAGAAATTAAATTATTTAATATTTTCAAAATAATTTGGCTTCATTTTCAGAGAAATTTGTAAGGTACAAACAAAACAAAGCTAGAAAATGCTTAATAATAAAAATAATTTAAACTTCTAAAATTTTTGATTTTTTAATGTTTCTGAAAACATAATTATAGTAACAAATCATGAAATCTGTCTTTATTTTGTACATATTTATTGTTATCATAAATATCTAAAATACATTCAAATCTTCATTAAAATTAGCTATTACAAAATTATTTCAAACAGGTATAAAACCTTAAAGAAAAATTGTATTTGTTTCATATTTGAAAGTAATATTACCACAGTAAATTTTGATAAAAGACTAGAATAAATGAGGAAAATTTTAATAGAATGAGTAATCCAATTTATAGTAAGTGATCTTCATGTCACAATTTTAATAAATTTTGGTACTGATGACATAATATCTCTTGATTAATGTTTCTCAAAAATGGCATTCCTAATATCAATAGTTCAAGAAAAATTTAACAAAAAAATTTGGCACAATCATATTTTGATGTAAAAGCAGAATGTATAATTAATGTCTATTTATTTACTGCTGTGCACAGAATTCAAAATTACAAATTCAGTATATAAAAAGAATTCTTTATGTTTAATGCTTATTCACAACAATTGCATTTTCAATCAAGTCAAAGATGATGTTTAATCAATAAAATATTGAGCTAATATCATTTAACAATCATTAATTAAACTTCAATACAATATATGCAATTTACAGCTGAACATACATAAAATATAATTTTAGAACTTGAAACTATCCTTATTTTAAAAATATTTTAATTATATAATTTTTTAAGTGTAATCTTTTTTAATTGTAATTTTAAAAATTTCAAATTATATTTATGATAATTTATATTTGAAAATTATATTAGTACTTGAAACATTTTTAACTTTATTTATATTAAGTTTTATTTCTTAAAACTGTACTTTTATAACTCTTCCTTCCGTAAATAACAATCAACAGCTAAACATATTGCTGAGCAAAATTGCAATATCATTATTGCACATTAAAAATTAAATGCAAATATAAATTAAACTACGGAATGAACAAATACAACTGAAAGAAAATAAATTAAAAGATTACAGACTAAAGTAACTAAAATAAAGCTTTTCATATTTTTTATATCTTTGTAGTAGTACACATACTGCATTGCAGTAAATATATATGTATCTATATACATACCTTCACCAAATGTGAATAATAGAGACTTTCCTCAATGAAGGAAACCATGCAACCAGATGTCTCAACCAAAACTTAAAATTTTTTTAAAATTTTTCATTCATTATAAATGCTATCTTATTGTACTGCTTTATTCATTATAATTTATTTTATATACATAAAGTAGGCACAATGATACTATCAATGGTTTAACTGACAAAAACACCACAGAAATTTCTGTAAACATGAAATTACTTTATTCAGTCTTTTCCCTCATATCTGAAAAATTAAAAATCAAAATTTGTTTCAAAATAAAATTATAACTTATAAATAATATCATTAAAAACTGTATAACCTTTTCTGCAGTCACTTGAGTTAAAAGATGTTCAGTTGATATACTTTTCTTTTTTTCTTTTTGTACAAAAGTGAGGTAGGTGTACACCAAACTTCCAATTATACTGAAATAATTTAATTAAAAAAATCATAAAAGCATAATAAAATATAAAAATTAATTAAAATTTACATGAGAAATAATTACCTGATATTTAAGCCAATAAAATTTGTCCAACTAAACATGTAATCTCCTCCAATATACATTCCCATGTATGTTACTAAAATATTCTTTTTTACAAAAATTAATTATTATTAATTTAAAATTTAATTAGAACTTGATTTAATAAATAATAGTAATAATAAATTACCTTTAAGCAACCAACAATAGTGGTGGTCAATGCAGAATTATATTGTGTACATATAATGGTTGAGAACATTAAAAAAAAACCCATGATGCAAGAAAGAATAAATGAAATCACAAACAATATGTTATTCCAATCAGAAAAGTTCATTGTCTACAAAAAAAATTCAAAAAGATTAAATATAAATTATTTTAAAACATTTTTTTCTCTCAGATTTCCAATTATATTATTTATTAATTAAAAATTTATGATGCAAGTATTCTATCATGTGTAAAAATATCACACTGCACAATAGTTCACTTTCTACAGACATTTTCTAGAAGTGTTCTTATAAACTCCAATCATATGGTATGATCCTTACACTTATAAGTCACAGCTTTCAGAGCACTTAATAGAAGAGCTTTTACACATTGCTCAGATGGACATCTTAGGAACTCTATTGTATATACAGAGTTGCTACTGCCCTTGGCTATATGTCAACACTCATCAAAAACCTCATCTGACATTATAATATGCAATCTGACTCCAAGAGAAACAACAAGTTATATAAAGCAGTTACCTTTAACAAAGCTCTGCATGGTATCCACAGAGAAATATTACAAGTTGCCAACATTAACATTGCTTTTAGGAGGAGTCAAAACTGCTTTTTTCCTTGCTTAGAAATGATAAAGAAGCATTTGAGAAGTCATCACTTTCTGGTATATATGCAATTCATATACACATCAATAGGGTGGACAGAAATTATGAGTACATTGTGCAATACAGACTTTTGAGCATTAAACTTAAATAGACTTAGACATTACACAATTAAAAAGAAATTGTGTACTATCATTCTTGTGGCTTTTGCATATAACAATAACGTCCAGGTTTTTTTAATAACACACAACTGCTCCACCATACTTCTGTTCCTATGGGCCTCAACTATTTTGTAAACCTTGAGATCTATAAGGACACTAAGCAAGGTACAGCAATTAATTTTAAAGATAAGGCTACAGTATCCAATGCCTGGAAGTCTATTTATGAAGATTTTGCAGTCCTAATCTTAATTTTTTTGTTTATTGTACCATATTTATTTGTTATTTTTAATTTTTGCTTTTTATATTATTTGTATTTATTTATTTTATACATATTACTCACTCCTTGTTATTTGTTTTTATGTTAATTTTTGATTTTATTTACCACTCTTCAACACATGCAACATTCTACACAGAATTAACAAGTTCCAATATATTTAAATTTTTATTTTACATTCTGTTCTATCTGCAGTACTAAAAACCTGAAGATGGCTGCTAAAGACAATCAAAAATGTTTGTTTTAGTATTAAATTATTACTTTCATACTGAATTACAGGCTTTTCTGCACATGTTTATAACCAATCACATCCAGTTTTTGCTGTTAATTTTGGTTAAAAATTACATAAAATGAAATAATACTATTATAAATCTATTAAATTTAGATTGTCTGAATTATTAATAATAAATAATAAATTGTCTGAATTTATAATTCAGACAATCTAAATTTAATAGATTTATAATAGTATTATGCAATCAAGAAATTTTACTTTAAATATACTGTATCAAAGTTTATTGATAATTTTTTAATCATATATTTAAAATAAAATGAGATGACATTCACAACATGATAAAGTAAACATCTGTTTTACTGGATATTATACTGCATATGTTTGATATTGCAAATTTAAAGACTGAATGTAAAAGAGTTACTGGAATTATACAATCGCTGTCAGCCATTTTCCCGACTATTTCATTTACTAAAGAGGATGAAAAAGATGCAAAGATTTCTTTTTGGATCTGCTTGTACATAGATCCCCAATGGACTTTTCTTTTCTGTGTTTCATAAATTTGATGCACTGCTGTACATCATCTCTTCCATGGCTTTCCAATTTCCAGGTATAAACATTTAGCTATTGCAGAGCTCATATGCAGGGCTTTGTTATATCTTTCCATCCAATCCCATCCAACCACTTGTGAATGAGAAGCTTCCCCTTGTTAAATTGGTGATTTGCAATGCTGGATATTCTTTAGCCAAGTTTAACTATCTAGTAAACCAGGTCAAAGTCACTTTATTTCTGCAATTCACTTTGTATCATAAGAAGGAGTTCGTTTATAAATATAAATATTATAAAGTCTCTGTAAATCCGCACGAAAAATATATAAATTTTCGGTTTAGCGGTAGACCATCACACAGCAGATGTGTGATGTCTACCTGCTGTGTGATGGCCTACCGCTAAACCGAAAATTTATATATTTTTCGTGCGGATTTACAGAGACTTTATAATATTTATATATAAACAGCAGTCATAAGAAATTTAATTAAAAAAAAGAGTTCGTTTATGTCACAACTGCTATTCCATACCTGGGTCTGCCTTCATTATATATTTGCCAGGTTTTCAAAAAGTTTGGTTATATATTGCTACTAGTGCCCCAGTCCACATTGCATAGGATCCTTTGCAATAATAGAGACAATGTTGCATTCTTTGAAAAATCTGGAGTATATGTTATACCCTTATAATATCTGTTAACTAAATCAAAAATATTATACTTGTATATTGGAGTGACCACTAGAATGCTCCACCACTGTCTTGCAGAACATTATGAAGATATCATACGGGTATACTACAGAACTAAAAAAGTGATAGAGGTATAAATTAAATTTAGTCTTCTTTGGTCACAAACTTCTAAAATGCTGTAGGAAACAAAGAACACTGTTCATATGGAAATCTCTTCTCATTGCACCAATGTCATTGTAGAACACTCCCACAATTGATATATCAGAACTGTGGATAGCACTTTAAGCTTCTAAACTTGTAAGCCCATAGTTCACAATAAAACATTTCACATCACCAATGGCACACTGCTATGTACTGTACTTATTTATTTTTGTATTTTAATTCAGATACTTTTATTAGTGTTATTCCTTTGCATATCATGGTTATTTTTGTAATACAGGTATACCTCGCCTTACGTCGGTAATTGGTTCCAGGAGAACGACGTAAGTCGAATTTACTTGTTTCCGAATCTACTTGTCACTAGGCTAAACCATAAATTACCATTCCTGGTTTTGTATTTTATTTATTACTGCATTTTTAATAATATACGGTTAATAAAAATCTATTTTAAGCTTACAAACAAATAAATTTTAGTTTTTAATATAGGACAGAAAAAAGTATTCTAAATTTACGAATGCATGTACTGTAAATACAGAACATACTAGTATATATTTTAATATGATTTTATGCACTTTAAACGTTTTTCTAGTGATATTACGACTTCAATATTTGTGGCGGACAGACGTAAAGTCGAATAAAATGACTTAAAGTTGATATTTATTTTTCCATATACTTTTTTGATAAACGACGTATAATCGGGAACGATGTAAGTCGAAGTATACCTGTATTGTATAATTTTGTAATTTTTTATATACTGTATGAAATTTAAGTTCCATGCTCATGTACAAGAAACAATTTGAAAAAATAAAATAAAATAAAAATGTTTGTTGCTGTTTGTGTTCTATTTTTGAATTCAAACATTCTGTTCTCTACAAATATTGCCTCAAAAGGACAGTTATATACTGTTGAACATATATGTAAAATAAATCTTTTCCCCATAATGTTGATAGACAGTTAGGTGACTTAGCTTTTTCTAATAGTATTTGGCATCTACAGTTATTTATATTTTATTGCTTTCATGAAAATTTTTAATGCCTATTAATTACAAAGCTATTTAAAAAGATCAAGCATGAATTTAAATAAACAAATAATACAGAATCTAGTATGTATCTAAAACCTAAAATGAAATATAGAATACATTAAGGTAAGTAAAATAAAATAAAATAGATTAAAATGACAACAATATACATATACATACATACATACATACACACACACAATTAAGAAATATTTTGTGTATTATAAAATATATAAAATATTAAATAAATTTCTATTTGAAATGTTGTATGTTATAAACAAAATGTACCACCTTATTGTGATTGTGCTTTGCACATAGCTTTCAAAGTTAATCAAATTACTAACGTTTTCAGTCCACATCTAAGACCTTCCTCAGGTAGATCTTTTTGAAAAATGATTCCTTCTGATGTTGGTGGTGTTCTATTTTGCATTTGGCTCCAATGTGTTCGAATTTCAAACATTTTCTTTTTATGAATTTTTCTAAACATGTGCGCCCGTGTCATTTGTTATAACATTTAGTTGTACATAGCTTGCCATGTCTTTGAGATTTGTTTTTTTGTCTTTAAAATTGATCAAAAGGCCCTGGCAGTCTGCTTTAAAAATCTCTAATGCCTCCAAATTCCTAAGGTGGCAGGTTTGTCATATTAGGGTTGCCTATTGTAGATCTGGTTTAATCCTGGCATATATAGCTAAGGTGGTGGTTTTTTCTTCTTTTCTATATTTGCTCTATATTCAGAGAGATGATGTTTGAGAGATCTTTTTGTAGACCTGATGTATACAAAGTCTCTATTAAACCTGTTATCTTTGAACAGAATTTTACATACCCCTAGTGCTCTTTCTATGTCCACTTGATCTTTCTCATTCCTAAGCAGTTTGAATGTATCAGATTTATGTCTGTAAACAATTTTTGTATTAGTATATGTTCCAATTTCCCAATATAAAGAATGCATATTGCACTCATATGATATGTTATAATAATATGGTAGTGAGATGCATCCTGCTGTGAAATATCTCTTATTGGAGTTATTTTCAATTAATCTTTGAGTTTGTTTCTCTGCTTGTTAGCCATTTTATATACTAAGCCTTTAGAAGAGCCATATGTCTCAGCAATCTCCACTATTCTTTCTATTTCCTTCTGTTTGTCTTGCTCTTTGTTACAATGTGTGTGGGCCCTTCTAATAAGTGCTCTAAAGACTGCTATTCTATAGTTGTATAGGTCATTAGAGTCAGCTGGAATGTTTATTGGAATAAAGCTTGGTTTTTGTTATATTTTAGTATCATACCCACTACCATTAAAGGTGATATTAATATCCAAAAATGAGTTTCTTTATTATGAATGAATTGAATGGATGTCAATAAGAATAGAAATAAGCCCAAATTAATTAACTATTAAAAATTCTTTATTTATTATTGATTAAGAACTGACTTAAATGCCACTCACAAGTGTCAAGAGAACTTCAGAATCTGCACAAAATTTCACTTTTATACATAATGTCAAATTGTTCATAAGTCTGAAAGTTTGTAAATTGAATGTTCATAAGTAGGGAATCAACTGTATCACAATAGATATCTAAAATACAAGTACATTTTGCATTGGAATACCTTTCAATGTAACGTTTTAAATGATAAATATTTATATTATATTTTGAATATTCTTTCCATGTCTTTTAATCATAAATAACATACATTCTTATTTCCACTATATATTCTCTCTCATTAAAATACCATAATTTAATTTCTCATAATTTCTAAAACTTGATTGACATTACTATAAATTTTACAAATTTACAGTAATATGAATCACCATTAAACTGTCATTCATCATTTCTAAAGTTATTCATACAGAAAGTGTAATAAAATCTCATAATCTTATCTTTTAAATGGAATAAAAACCTCAAAAACTAGATTTTCTTAATAAGATAATGTGATTTTTCCATACATCTTTTTCTCTAACATACATTCAGTTGTGGAGTCTGAAATTTGTCACTTTGTCTATAAATTGATTGAAATATTTCTTGATCATAATTTTTCTACCTAGTAAATAGTTGAATTATGTGTATCAAAATTTTAAATTTTGCAATCAAATATTTTTAAAATGAGATTTGAACCTAGATCAAATTTTTATATTAAGAACATTTTATTCAATTTTAAGAGATTTTCCATCTTTCAATGATATCATAAAATTTCCTTTGTAATTTATGATCAATTTTAGATGCTTTTAAAATTTTTTCCTACTTTGCAAATACAGTAGAGCGTCGATTTTCTGGAAATCAATCATCCGAAACGTCAATCATCCGAAAGAATTCCAGTCGGAAAATTTAAATTTTCGCCAGTGCTGTGGCGCTTCAATCTTTGGCTATGTCTTGGGCTACTTAAATATTTTACGTTTTTGATACTAAATTAACATCTGAAGTATAATTTTTTATTGTTTTTATATTTTTCAATATATTTATTTTGTTTGTATAAAATAAAAAAATAATTTTTTACGATACAATAGTCTTTGTTAGGCTTAATATCGACGAAAATTCTACGCGAAGCGACACGCAACGGATAAAAATTTTAACATCGGATACGTTAAACTATTTTTTCGTACATAAATCGGTTATCCGAATTATCAGTTATACGAACAACCCCAGTCCCCAATTGATTCGGAAAATCGACGCTCTACTGTATAATCACATTTAATTTTGCATTCAATATAATTACAATTAGGTTATTATTATTTATTTATTCTGTTTATATGAATCTTACTTATAAAATATCATAAAATTTAAAGTTTTTGATATTTAGATGTCTCAGTATCATTAAATTTCTCATCAATATAAATTACACTCAAACCAATAGTTTGGACTACAGTTTTTAAAAATTTAAGCATATTTAAGCATATAAAAATATATTTAGGATATTAAAAATTTTTCAATTCATTAAATTTTAATTTAATTTCCAAAAGTTATAAATTCATATTTATAAAGAATAAAAGTTATAATACTATACAATAGAGCAATCGAATTCAAATTGTATGCAATCCTAAGATTATGCAAATGTGATTAATTTAATACTGTGTGTTATAATATTTGAAAATTAAAATAAATTTGGAAAATAAAAATTAGTGATATTTTAGCATAATATTCTAACAGATTTACTTACTTTTTCAAAGTCACCATTATACAAAGTTAGGATGAAAAGTGGAACTATCATGAAAAGGGCATTGTAAAATAAGAGACCATACTTTCCAAGATCCTACAGAAAAACAAAGTAAATAAAAATAAAATTCATTCTGCATAATAAGTTACTAAAAATAACAAATTTTTAAGTATTACAAATTATTTAGTAAATATATCATCAATCTGAAAATGCTATAATAATTTGACTTATAGCATACATAATACAAAAATATATAAGCTTTTCATGCAAAAGTACTAACATTAATTAATGTTAGAGATTTCCTAACTGCAATGACTTAAAATATAAAATTGATACATGATATCAAATTTAAATTTTAAAAATATCTATGCCAATAAGATACTTTTATCTGAAAAAATGTAAAGAAAAAAAAATCACCAATCAGAAGTTTCTCTGTATATAACAATGATGATAAAAAAGATATAATAAAAAATAAGACAATCTTTTTACTTATTTTATTCCTATTTTTGAGTATAAAAACAGTTAGCTACAGAAAGAAATATTGAAAATTATTTATCCAAACTAAATCAGTACATTTAGTAATAGTAATAAAATTTTTGAGGAATTATTAAACTTCAGAAAAAATGATGATAATAGCTCTGAGATATTTTTTAAAATAAAATCTTGCTTTATGATTTTTTTTTTATCAAACTAAAATAAAAAATGAATTTTAAGATTTAACTGAATAAAAGCACCAACTGATACCTGTAATCTAGTTTATTAAATGAACAATTTAATGAGAACAAATATTTTAACTGTCTTTAACAACTATCTTCAGGTTATGGAATGTTAGAACATAGAATAAAACTCATTATAATTTGTTCATTTTAACTGGATTACAGGTGTTAGTTGGTGCTTTTATTGTAATCTCATCCAGTTTTGCAATATCTTTTAAGATCTAACTGAATATATTATCAAATCATTCTGTATAATAATGTCATAATGTTATCTTTTCCCCTATCTTCAAATTGAAACTATATTTATGACAATTTTTTTTTTGGAAAGAAAATATTTCTGTTCAGATTAAAAGCTTAATGCAAAGATCTTCATCAATAAAAATTATAAAAATGTGTTGTAGAAGCACTGTGTTGTATGAGAGATACCTATATGTACAGTACTTGTATTTGTGTCAATACATATAATAAGTGACCACTGTTAATAATGACTCATTTGCAAAAAATAAAATAATGGCAAAAATAACTGATTTTTAAAATCACATAATAATAAATCTATCAATTCAATTTTCTGTTGTAAAGACTACTTATTTAAAAGTTTCTGTAATGTCAAATATTTTCAAAATTTTCAATCTTTTAAATTTTAAATATTTTTTACAATGAAAATTTTGAAGATATCCAACATTACAGGAAGTTTTAAACAATTTGCATAAGTATAGGCAGGGAAGAGCCTGTAAAAGAAAGTTGACTTCAGCAGTGTTGATTATGTTTCAGTGATTGTGAAAGGAATTTAGACTTCAAAAAATTTTTTTGTGTAAGTCTTCAATTTTGTAAAGTATTGTTACATTGTCTTTAGATTTTAACATACTAATATTTAGCTCTTTTTAAATACAGTAGAACCTCCATTATCCGGACCTCCATTATCCGAATTTTCGATTATCCGGATTGTTCAAAATATACAAAAATTTTACGAATTTGCTGATTCACACTTGGCGAATTATGACACTGTTTATGTACGTGATGGAATGAATAACTTTTTTTGTTTCAACAACGTCTCGCCCAGCACAGTGGTCGTAAACTCTTAAATATATTTTACGTAGTAATAAAAATATAACTTGACATACGTATTTATAAGTAATTTATATTCAAATTACATCATTTCTATGACCAAGGGTAACGTAAGGTATGGACGACGTGGGCCACTGCCTATGCCTCGTGGTCCGAAGGTTTACGCATTACTTAAAAGCCGCAAACGCGACAAAAAAATTTTACTCCTCATAAAACGATAAATAGTTTGTCAAATTTTTATTCATATAAATGCAGTTTCAACTGCTTTTTATTTTATAAAATCCGTCTTCTTGCGCCACCAGAGGGCCTTTTAAACAATAGGTAGTCTGTTAGCGTTGGTCAGTAGTAGTCCAAATTCAATACGAACGTTTGTTTCTTGAAAATTTGATCACGATTTAAATACAGTATTTACTTTTAATATTACCGATATGTCATCGAAAAGAAAACGTGTTGTATCATTAAAAGACAAATTAAAGTATTTATTTCGATTATCCGGATTTTTCCTTATCCGGACTACCTTCATCCCCAATTAGTCCGGATAATCGAGGTTCTACTGTAATACATTTTGTATTATATTTCTATAATTATGCATGCAATTGTTTTTAAAATAATTTAAATAAAAGAAAATTATCTTAGTATTTTATTCACTTTAAGTTTAATTCTTGTTATACATTTATATCTTTAATTTATCATAAATTTCATTCATTTATAATTATTTAAACGTGTTATCATTTTCATTTTAATATTGTAAACTTTTAGTTTTTTCCAACAGAATTTTCATAGTATTATTATTCAAATAAAATTGGAAATCATAAATCTATCAAATTCCTTTTGTAATTTAAAACAAATATCTGCATTATATTATTATGAAGTAACTTAAAATTATAAAACTGTTATTAAATGTAATTCATTTTTATTTATTTTAACTAACAAAACACTAACTTAAATAATAAATTTAAAAATTTACTCTGAATTTTCATAATTGTAAAATATATCTTACATTTCCTTTGGTTTCCAATTTTTTCTTGACATATATGTTATTAGCTGTAGTAAAAAAATCATTTCCAAGAACATAAACATAACCTTTCAGATCAAATGATAGATCATCACTGTAAAATTCAATCACATTAAACATTTCTTCAAAGTTACATTCTATCTAAAATTATTATTAATTTGTTAAAAATTTCAATATAATAAAATTAATTTTAAACTAAGTAAACTAAAAAAGCAATTCCCGTATTAACAGTTTTGGTTTATTTTTTAATTTAATAAAATATAAGGATTGCCTAATTGAAAAATGGACACGTGTCATATTTCATCATGCAAAGTAGAGATTGGTGGGCTACCTTACAGGTAGGTAAGCTCAATATAGGCAAACCACAAGCTGCATTAATTGTTGGTGGAAACAGATTTTTTCTCCAGTAACTGGCAGATTAATGTTAAGTTATTTATGATGAAAGCATCCAAAATCAAACAACAGGACAGTATTTCAGTTTTTAGTGGTTGAAGAGAATAGGACAAATGAAGCACATTTATGATGAGCATTGTTTAGGATGAACAGCAGTGAATAATTGGTACAAAAATTACAGAGAAGACTACAAATCAATTCAGGATAAACCACAACCAGGTCAGGCACACTCCATAATCTCCACTGCATCAATCGCCACTGTGGATGGCATAATCAGAAGTGACAGACAAGTTATAATTCACATACTCTGACTCTGACCTGTCACCATGATACTTTCACATTTTTAGACCTCTCAAGACAGGTTTGTGAGGGCAAAGATTCATGTTGGACAATGAGATGGAGGATAGGATCAAAGAATTTTTCTATGAGCAGCAACAAGATTTCTATCAATTCACTTATGAGACGCTGGAAACTTTGCCTAAACAAATACAGTGGTACCTCAGGATACGAAATACGAATGCCCCAGCATATGAAATTTTCAGGATTCAAACATATTTTTGCTCCACGATACAAACAAAAACTCACCATACAACGTTACATTAGCTCGCAGCGCCATTTTTTATTCACTTCTGTTCATTGGTCTCAGTCCGCGTGTTTGCTTTGTCGTGGAAGGATCTCGCTTGATAAAGAAAATCTTGAGGTATTATCAGAAAGTGACTGATTTTATTGAAAAGAAACATCCCAAAACAGTTCACACTGGCCATATTGCTGCTCAGAGTAATGACAATTGCTTAAGTTATTTTAGAAACATTTTAAAAAGTAGGCAAAGCCAAACCTCTTTGGATAGATATTTTACCAAGTGATCTCTATCCAGTGAAAGTGCTGGTGGAAGTGAAGGAAAGAAAGCAAAAAGCAGTAAATAAAAATTTTAAAATATATATATAAAACAACACTAATTTTTTTTATCTTTTCTAAGTTATTTTTAAGTTATTGTTACATTATGTTATGTAAGTTAAGTTTTATTATCATTTCCCTTCTCCCTCTCTTCCGCCACCAGTTTACACTTCCACCGTCATCTATCCTCAAAGGTAAAGTGCAAATAAAATTACATTTTTTTTTATCAATTATTATTCTATTATGGTTATTTATACATTTACAACTACAAAATGCATTTTTCAGTGTCTTCCTTACTATAGTTATTTATTTTTTTTAATGTACAACTTAGCTTTAATTTGAGTGTGTTTTTCGCATTGGAACGAATTATTTGGTTTTACATGTAATTGCATGGGGAAAAATGATTCACCTTACAACATTTTCATGATACAATCTCAGTTTCGGAACGGATTAATTTCGTATCATGAGGTACCACTGTATGGATATTTCTTTTAGATTCACAATAAATGTTTGCCAGTTCTGATATGTCCAATTTTCATTTCTTGTCAACCCTTCTCTTCACTTGTCAACCCTTACATATTATTATTTTAAATTTAACATTAAAACCCATAAAACTCTAAAGGAAAAAATTTAAAAAAGATATAAACAAACCACTAAAAAATGCATTATTATTGTGTAACTTTGAACTAAATACTTTGAACTTAGATATTTGAATTTATAATCTAGAAGTTAAAATTATAATTTTTAAAAATTTGTTAAGTAAGAGTTAATCTATTAGTACCAGCTTTCAAAAGTGTCTACCTATAATACTATATAACTCTAATTTCATCCATTTGTATAAAACTCAAAGTAAAAATTTATTAATTTTATAAATAATTTCTAAATTCATTCAGAATTTTTTAAAATAGTTTTTCTACTCTATGTCATAAGAAAGCTGTTATAGGTTGACTAAGTTTACATTGAGATGTATGAATAGTGAACAATGTATACAAGGTCAGATGATATATGAAAAACTTTTCATGTTCCAGTCCCATTTGAATCCAGATACCTCATAATGACAAGTAAACATCTTTGTTTTCTTCATCAAATGATTAACAACTCATCCATATTTTAAAAAATATAAACAATTCAAATTTCTAAAAACAATTTTAATTTTATCAAGAAATGTGTAAATTAATAATCAATTAACAATCACTTTAAAGATTAAAAGTTTATCTGATAGGTATCAAACAGATCCAGTAGATAAGACATCCTTATACTGTGAACACAAAGTTTGAATCTTGTTGTTGTTTTCAAATTGAGAAAAAGATTTTTAAATAAATAAATAAAATAAAAAATAATAAATGAAATTCATCAAGTTTACAATAACTTTTTCATTACATTTATATTTCATTAAAAATAAAAAATATTAAATGTGATACTTAGAAATTATACATTATTTTAATAATGCAATTATATTTTGTCTCCATTGACAACTCATGTCTTAAATATTGAAAACAAACTCTTTATTAATGCTACAATGATCAATGAGCATAATGTATTTTTTTGTTTATATAAATTATTTTAAGGTTATTGTAAGATGGGATTGGATTGAAGAATAAAGCAATGCAACACTTGAACAATCTGCCAAAGAGGGAGAGTGCCTCCTGAGATGATCTTCTATGGGAAACTGGTCCTTTTCAGGTTTAGAAATATGAAGAAAATCCAGAAAACTCCCCACCCACCTGGCCCAATACTTAGGCCTATGACCAATTACCAGTGTTCAGTGGTTTTATCCATTCAGCACCTGGTGGGCACTATTTTATGATAACCTAATTTATGTTATTTTAAACATTTTATTTTTTCTAATTCAAATGTTTTATTATATTAATAATATTTATTATTATTATAATATTTTGCATCATTTTATTTATGATAACTGTTATAATAATAAAGTTATTCAATTGGACAATATCTTAAGAAAATAAATTTTAGTTAGTATAGTCAGATATATAATTATATATAATCAAAAAAATATGTAAGTATAATGTAGACTCTGCTTTTTGAAATGATTTTTGTACTACCCTAAATTAGAAATAATTGATTGATAACATTAATCAGAATAAGTAAATAAGAATGTAATTAGAGGAAATTTTGGTTTTATTGATTAATGTTAAAAGCACATATTAAAACAATTAAAAAAACTTGAAGGTTTATTAATAATTATTATTATATTTAATATATAATTAATTTACTATTGTTTATATGTTACCAACTGTAACAACAGCTAGAGTAATGCTAGCAATTTAAACTATGATTTTGCAAGCAAATAATGATTAAATGATTAATGTTTAACATTTGTCTAAGACTGATGACAATAACTGATAATGATTATGTGTTATCAACCACACATCAAATAAAAATTAAAAACGTCTTTATTATTCGTCCTCACTTCGCCCTTCTGGGCTCTTCTTCAGGCTATTGTGCGAAAAGAAGTCGGACATTGTAAATCAAATAATTTCCTTTTGAATATATCACCATTCGAATCATAACACATGGAAACCTTCCAAGAGATTTTAAAATTTACAACATCCAATTTTTGCACAATAACCTGAAGAAGAGCCCAGAAGGGGCCTCAAAAACATTAGCTACCCTAGTACGCAACCACTCCGGTTACCAGGTTTTATGTAAGTGTTATTTAAAAAAGTCTATTTACCTACAGACAATGGTAATTATAACAAAATTCTGATTATAAAGAACAACACTTTTTATAATATATTTTACCTTGTATATTTTGAAACATATTAACTTTGATAAAATTAGCCAAATGATAACATTGTGTGTGATTACAATAAGCAGAGTGTATTGTACTTAAAACATGCAACAACAATAAACATCTTTACTTGTTATATAATGATATTTTAACTTACATAGCAGCAATAATTGCTCCACCAATCATGGCAAATACTGTTGAAATAATGGCACTGCTTCGTCTTATTCTTTAACAAACATACAAATATTACACAGTCACATAGTTAATATAAATATTATATCATAAAAATTATTTTAAATATATAAACAATAAATCATAACTTACTTTAATACTATATATTCCCCTACAAGAGTCATTAAAATAGTAAACCTCCTTAATACTGTAAACATTGGTAAACTAAAATATAAAATTTTCATTAAGATAAACTTAGATAAAACCATTTCTAAAATAAATAGCTAAATGTATTATTGTATGTGTTAAGATTAATTATACCTGCCATAATATATTAAAAAGTTACTTTAATTTCAATTTAAATAAAAAGAAGAAACAATGTTGACAGATTACATATAAATTTTCTAATCAAATGATTAAATTTATTATAAGGAAAATTAATTTAATTTGAATAAAAACCAAAACTTTTTAGCTTCTTTTGCAATATTAGGCAAAACTATTTAGTCAATACAGAGTAGTGATTCTTTACCTAAGGTCCAAGAACTCCTTGGGAGTTCATGGATAATTTCAGAGAATCTGTGAACATCTATGAGAAAAAAATTACATCTTATTTTTACTAGCCTTTAATAGAAATTTAGCATTTCCTTCAATTTATCATTGCAGCCAACAAACAATAATAGTATTGGTCACTGGCAAGATTATCAATACAAATATCACATACTTTCAAATTATATTTACAGTTGTTGAAAATATCTCAAAATATTGTTTACCATCATCACTACTTCAAAATTTTATTACTACCAATACATATATTATTACTTTATCATAAATTTGTTTTTTAATATTCTGACAACTGTATTTCAATATAATTATTTTCCTTCATAATGTATTTTATTTTATGCATTTAAAAACAATACTCTGAGAAAGGGTCCATAAGCACAACCAGACTGCCAAAATGATCCATAGCACACAAAATATTAACTTTTGATTTTTGTAACAAGATAATGTAAATTTTCAGGAAAGTTGCTTTGACTGCCTTTTTTTTATAATAAATTACAGTGTATATTTTTAATCATCTTCTTAGCTTAGCTATTTTTAATGAGCTTTCTTCAGACTGCTTAATATTTTGCTATTCTAATCACTATCAAAACACTCATTTTTTAAAACAAGTCAGAAAATAAAGGTTAATGTTTCTGGAATGTTTGCCATTCCATCTTCAGGCTTCAAACTGACCAATCTGAAGATGAAATAATGAACATTTCAAAACAAACTTTATTTTCTGGTTTCTTGAAAAAGTGATTAATAGAACATATGAAGCCATCACATTCCCAGAACTGTTTTATTATTCTTCCTTCAACCTCTTTGTTCTTATGTCATCTGTATCATATTCTTTCTTCTCTGTTTCTTGTCAATTTCCATTACTAAATCCTTCCTTCTCATGTAGTTTCATTTTTTTCATAATGTGCCCAAATCATCTGCATTTTCTCTGTTGTCACAAAGTTAGTCAAATTTTAGTATCCCATTTATATGTTTGTTTCAAATCCAGTTCATTCTTGTCACTCCATAAATCCATATCAGTATTCTCATTTCTGCATCTCATTCTATTGACATCAGTTCTTTTTTAAAGGTAAAATTTCCATGTCATACATGATTGCTGGTCTCACTACCATTTTGTATGCCTTACATTTCAGTTTTACTGGTATTCTCTTGTCAACACAGAACTGTTGACATTTCTTTATAGTTCTTCCAAGCAGCTTAGATTCAACTAGTCGCTTCCTTTTCCACTTCTTTTTTTCACTATCAAGCCAAAATGATTAATCTCTTGACATCATCTCTATTCAATGTCAAAGCTATTAAATCATTTTCTCCCACATTGCTGAACATTGTAAGACATATTGTGTCTTGGTTTTATTAATTTTATAATCTCTCTCTTCAAACACATTACAGTATTTCATTTTTCCAACTTCAACTCAGCCATTTTCCTTAATTCAGAACACATCACAATGTTGTCTACACATAACATGACCCATGTATTTGTTTAATATATTTTTACATATAAAAATAAAATAAACTAAGACCTCTCTGTAATAAATGATTTTGAGAAAAACAGGAAAGACCTACAGAAAGTTTGAGCTGAGAAAACATTCTTTTTTTTTTTTTTTTATTAGTAAGCACAAGTATAGTTTCACAATTGTATGCAAATAGGCAAAATCACTAGCAGCTAGAAATACACAAATTTGAAAAATTAGAGATGTCATTCTGAAGTTCCAAGGATGGATACGTCTCCTTTTGAAAATCCAATCATACTATTGCTCAATGGAACAAGTTTATGAATATGAGATACACTAATTCACTCCAACAAACACTCTTTTTATTTAATTTCTCAAATACATAAGGTTTTGTGCATCATATAGATGCATTAAATGCAGGTCAAGTTGCAAACAAACACACTTGTTCATATCAAAACAATTCACCACACAACTTGAACACTGCAATGATTTGACCACATGGCAGATTAAAAATTCCAAATTAGTTCATGTTGCTGGAAATAGAAATGAAGCTTTTTCAAAGAAAACACACTCAAAGAATTATACAGAGGAAATGCTGGTTATTGATTTACCTTAAGAGATATCAATTTTTGGAAAAGCAGATATTGATGGGCACTCATATATGCAGGTAAAGTGTTGGTTTTAGTAATACAGGTAGAAATGTTGGGTTTTAGAATTCTGAAGTCAAGCATTGGGCCTGTATTTGTTGGATATTGGGCCAACTTTAGCTAAGTACAGCATTACAAATATCAATGCATGATACACTAACTTTCCATACTTGTTTAGAGATGTCTGAAAATTATTTTCCTCTAGACCAGTGGGTCCCAATTAGTTTTTCCTGCATACCACTTCAAGAAAGAGCTCAAACTCTCATACCCCTTATAGCAGAAATTCATATTAATCCATACTAATATTATAAATTCAAAGGTAATGCTGTCTGTATGTTACCTTTTCATGTGTAAACCACTGAACAGGTTTTAATAAAATTTGGCACAGAGCTTACATGTTGGAGATGGACATAGGCTACATTTTACTGCGAGAAAATATCTTACTCCCACAATAAAATTCGATATAATGCGAGCGAGGCTATGGGTAGACAGCTAGTGATAAATAAAATAAGTTTTTTTACTTTTATTAGCTTTAAAATACAATTCTAATAATAATGAAAATAACATAAGGTTATTTAATTAATTTTAATATGACAAATGTGCACGATTTTCTTTGCACAACTTTGTAAACTCTGGTTGCTTTTTTCAGTTTCAGTCTCAAGTCATCTTCGAGTTGAAGTTGGTGACGATGTTTAGTTTTCATGTTTGTCATGGCCGAAAATCCGCTCTCGCAGAAGAATGTTGTGCAAAATAGTAGTAAATATTTTATTGCCTCTTCACTGACATTATAATAATGATAATTGTGCAATTAATACAAATTGTGTTAATTGTACAATTTTTGTTTCTTGCATAAGAATTTTATTTAGATATTGTCACAAAATGCATCTTTTTGATGAAATTTCAGGAATATTTTTAGTCATAAATAAACAAATTTGTGCATTCGACATCATGTTGTAAATTGTAAAATTTTTGATGGTCCACCCATTATTTTTTTAATTGCTTCATCTCATGCATTTAAATTTTAAATCGACCGATTTTAGATTGCCTCAAGTACCCCTTTATGAAATTTCACGTACCCCCAGGGTATGCGTACCACTAATTGGGAACCATTGCACTAGACCATTTACAAGATCATACCAATTGGATTTTTGTTGGATTTTGGAAGTCAGTCCTCATTCATATTTTCATCATTTCCAATACTGATTTTACGTAATTGCAATTATATAGAACTTTGGAAAAGGTGGAAAAGAAATGTTTAACTCTTCATAAAAATTTTTTGCAAAAACAATGCTTTTCATAAATTTCTGATTCTAGAGAACAATTTTAAAGTAATTTTTTTCAGTTTATATTCATATAAAATTAATATTAAAATAAAAAAAATATATAAAAGTTTTAATCATTTCAATGAGAAAAATATTAGCTGAGCATATTTGCTATTTAAAATACTATGTTTTCTCAATTCTAATGCACCATCAAATGTAATGGACACCCAATTTTCAAGATGTCAAAAGCTGAAAAATGTTAGCTTGTGAATATAATGCATCAGTGGCGTGCCATCATTGGAAGCAGTGGATGCACCGCTACTCTTGTATTTTCTAAAAAATAAATACATAGTACAGTAATTTTAATTATATGAAAATACTCTCACAATATTTTATTATAACTGCATTATATATCTTATTACAAATTTCTATACTACACGTGAAAAAAAATAAGATTGCTATTGTATATTCGAATATTAGTGACGGAGTGGAAGCGCTGTATTGTCAGCATCCAAAAACCCAGATTCGCGCATGCGCTTTACAGAACACCAACCTCACCCGGTTTAGCTGGTGGAAGCCTAGGACCTTGGGTGGATGCTACACATATACCACATCCAATTTTATCCAGGACCAGTTCTGGGCTGTTAGCTGCCTGCCTGCTAGGTATTTGGCCGCCCTCGCCCGATTATGTGAATCATGAATAGATTTATAACTTAACCCAACAGATAAAAATTTACTGGTATGTTTTTATGATAGTTCTGTATAGTTGACAGGAGTTTAAAAAATCCATTAAAATATTTGATATTTTTATTCCGCTCTCCGATTTTATATTACTCACGGATTTCAATGTTAAACCAGTGATATTAAGATTTCGTATATCCCATCTTTAAGGGAATGTAGAAAAAAACGTGTACAATTCTTGTATAATGTTAAAAAATTAACCATACTTTGGTAGCATAATTTACAACTAAATTTAATGAATGAGAGAGATGCATGAAGTACAGAAAAAGCTTTAGAATTTATTTTCCTCAAATTTACGATTTATGTATCCATTTGTCATAAAAATTTGTCTTTCCACTTTTTTCCAAGACTACAAATATTCAAGTACAAAGTAACTAGTTTCGACTTATTTCTACTTAAGATATGGTTAAATAATTAAGAGATTAGGGAATTGAGGACATAAATAAAACCCTGCTGAAAGAGCCGGAATATTACTTAAAAGCTTAACCAACCCAATCTCTAGCTGAATACGGTGGGGACTGATTTCTTCATAATATTAGACGTAATAAAGACAGAAATTTTTCCAGTTCAATGAGAGTAACCAAAAAGTTGTAAATTTCCGTGGACACCTGGTCCTAAAACGAATTACAGGTAGGGCTCCTACAACGCAGTAGACATGTTCCTTGAAAATACCACATTGTGGGAAATCGCATTATAGGAGACACCAACTTAATACAAAAACTGGGATTCAGTTCTAAAAAGAGAACTTGGCATTTGAATGACATTTAAAAAATTTTTCATGGTTTATAAATATTAGCCATGAATTTAACACTGGTTTCATCAGTTGATGACTGTCCCATTTGTTTTAAATAATCAAATATTTTTAAGGCTTTGTGTTTAAGTGCACTTTTATTTAAAAGAAACCATTACTTGTTCATATCTTCTACCCATAATATTAGTGCTTGTTCCATTTTTTCCATTATAGATGCACTCGGACAAGCAACATTTTTCGCAAGAATAGATGATCCGGATGCAACCGAATTCCTAATCTTTTCTTCTGATTGCTTAATCGACCGAATAGTTGACTCATTTAAATTAAAATTCCTACCAATATCAGCTATCTGCTCTTGATTTTTAATTCAACCTAAAATTTTCTATCTTTGTTTGAAGAGATACAAATTTCCTTTTTAACAACAGTTCTTTTCATTCAGCATTGTTATGGCTAAAATTTTTTCAATCAGTTTTGTGAACAGTAAAAATCACAAAAAATAACTCCCTTTCACTATGTTGTTAAAAATGTATACCCAATAAAAGTTTATACTTATTTTGGACCATTTCTGCAGTCCACACCTATTGAAAGAGTATAAATGATCGAAAATTGAGTAATATATTTGAGTGTTTACGATAACTGATGCACATCTGCCTAGAAATCGGTCTTCCCTTGAAATTTTCATGGGAACAACACATCAACATCGACAAACAGCTATTTTCAAGGACATTTAGCTCTGTACACCGAACTGCGGCTCGTATCACGTGATCCATTGTGAGTTTTCTGTTATGTGAAAGATAATTCGTTTCTAAATACCATAAACCGCATTGTAAGAAAATTTCCACATTTTTCCAAACACGTTGGAGCGAAAATGCATTGTAAAGGTATCGCATTGTAGGAGGCCTACCTGTAGTTAGAAAACAAATGACTATTAAGTTTAACATATTTTGATTTTTACAGCTATGGTGAGAAACATTTAAAATTTACAACAACCCTATCGCATCCTTTGAGATATACTAGTGATGTGACAAAAGAGGCATTTGACATTAACTGATATCGGCACCCTCGGGATTTGGCATGCACACACACACTGCACACCTACCAAGATCATCTCTGATTCCACTCGTAGGGAGCTATTTGACTAAGTGGTTAAGATTTAAAGAGTAAAGAATATTTTATGTTTTCAAATGCATGATGAACTCAGGATATTTTTCTTCCAAATTATAATTAGAAGTTCAGACTATTTACAAAAAATTAATTTTAAATTAATTAAAACGTCTGATCATTTTTAATAATGTAATTTTTACCTATTGTTAATTGTTTTTAATGAAGTGATTTCTTCAAACAAATGTAAAAGGTGTACTTCTATGGTGTGTGAAAAGGAAGAATTGATAGACTCAAAAATTAATTTTTTGTAAATAGTCTGAACTTCTAATTATAATTTGGAAGAAAAATATCCTGAGTTCATCATGCATTTGAAACTATATGCAAATTAAGATAACTCGTATCCACCACTAGAGGGCTTGAACCTGATACAAAGTGTATAAAACTTGACAGTTTGGTGTGAAGATTTACTTTGATTTTTAATGTTATAGGCGTCAGAACCTATAATGAAAGGCTGACGTCTGATCATTTTTAATAATGTAATTTTTACCTATTGTTAATTGTTTTTAATGAAGTGATTTCTTCAAACAAATGTAAAAGGTGTACTTCTATGGTGTGTGAAAAGGAAGAATTGATAGACTCAAAAATTAATTTTTTGTAAATAGTCTGAACTTCTAATTATAATTTGGAATATTTTATGTTATTTTTATGTATGTTTCTTTACAAAGCTGTATAATTTTCTTTAAAAGTATATTAATACAATTGAAGAATATTTTGTACCAGGTATGGATATCCACCACACATTTTATTTCACCAAGTTTTTATAATTTTATTTCTAATTGTAGCTATTATGTCGTGGCTAGTGATTCAGAATGTAATTGCAATATTAAAAATTTATTTTAAAAAAGTTTTGGCTCAAGATCATATAATGAAAAAGAAAACATTATTAAAAGAGAAAGGCCAATGCCTAAGTTAAACATAAACACTTCAAACAAAAATTTGTTCGACATTTTCATGATAAAATGGCTCTGTAAATGCAAAAATGCAGAAATTGTTTGATTGGCTTTGCCTACTATTTTCAAATGAAATTAATGTGTGGAATAAGAATGGCATTGACAATTTAGCTGGCAAAAGACATGTCGATTCTTTTGTATTTGAAGCAATTTGGAAATCAAAGCGGAATAGAATTTAACATTTGTAAATAATATAAAATAAATATTGAAAATTATAACAAGATAGTTACGGCTAATAGATATATTTAAATTAATAGATGTTATATGTTTTTATCAAAGCAAGAATCGGCATTTAGAGGGCATAGGGAATCTACTGAATCTAATAACAGAGGTAATTATATTGAACTTTATTAATAAGTATTAATAACTATTTATTAATCACGTCAGATAAATAATCTATTAAAAATACATTTAAAGAATTAACTGAGCACCCCTGGAAGTCGGCTTCTTACAGAAACACAACTTCCCTATCATCAAATGTCACGGCACGCTACCGTAATGCATACTCTATCACTGAACATACAACCACAGGAAATTAATATATTCAAATAATAATAAACACATGTGAAAAACTTTTTATTTTCATGTTTACAGTCCTTCACAATACCAACATTTTTAAATGTAGTTGTATTCTATTAGCAGATATAGTAAATCTACAGACTAACATAAAATCAATGTTTTACGACATTTCACATCAATATGCACAAGCATGAAATTGAATGCAAAAATACTGGTTAGAACTATAAGCAGAGTTAAGTAAAGAATTTTTGATTTTGCTGGTGTTTGACATGCTGCATAATTCTACAAGCATGAAATTTTCCAGATATGCAATATCACACAAATTATCTATATACATATTCTTCAGCATAGTGAATAACTTCTGCTTAAACACAGCTTTATAGAAGATTTGTCTATTGAACATCAATCACTTCACTTGCTGTAGTTCAAGAGATTATCAAACCATTCCAAAACTAAAACCAATACTGAAACCAAAGTTACAGAAAGGACTTATACCATTTCATTACAATGATGTAATACACATGAATTTCTGAGTGAAGGAAGAGAAAATGATGCAAGTGAGGCTTTATTAAGTCTACTTTGTGCCTAACTCTAATTCTAATACACATCAATTCTACTGTGCACCCCAATTTCAAAAATCAAAAAAGTCCAAAGACAAGGATGTATTAGAATCAAGAAAACAGTAATATACATGTTTAAAACTAATTAATTAAGATTTTTTTGTTTGCATTTTTTTCATTTTTATTGTATTTTACTTTCTTTTTTACATTTCAATTTTAGTTTTATTTTAATGTTTTTATTTAATATTTAATTTTATAAATAATTTTTTCTATTATAGTACAACCTCTGTAATCCAATATATACAGGACCACAACAGAGTCAGATTAAGGAAATTGCCAGATTATTGGGAGTAAAATGAATTTGATGCCATGAAAATTAAATTTGACAGAATAGAGACTAACCAAATTCGTTCATTATGGATAATGCTGCAGCAAAACAAACTGATCACTGATCAAAAGTCCAAGCATGCTGCCATTGGTAGTAAGTGATGTTGCCAAGTTGGAAGATTTCCAATAAATTTAATGGGAAATTAAAGCAACTCTGGTGGAAACTACAATATTTTCGGTCAGAAATTCTGAGGGACTGATTTTTGTTTGTACATACAATATTTTGTTATAAGATACTGCACCTTTTTCAAGCAGCTTAAGATGATGAGTGTAACAATTTTTAATATTGTGCCCAAGCTTGAGTGTTTAAGCTCATGGTCAATATCATGCCATATTTAGTGATAACTGGAGTTTGAACTAGTGAGAAAGTTGTACAACATGGCAGTGATATCAGTAATACTCAAGTCCACTAGTGTCAGATTACTGGATGTGTCAAACTAGCAAAGGGTCAAATTACTGAAATTGTACTGTATTTTTAATTAAAATACTCTTTTTCATAATAGAAAAGTCCCTAAAGATGAAGAAGATATTTATTACATATATTAATTAAATCATTAGAACATGTCAATATATTTGAAAAAGAAAACTATTAAGGAAAAAACATATAATAATAATAATCATAAAAATTTCTAAAAAAATTAAAACAAATAAAAAAGAAAGTAAATAATCTTTAACTAGAGAATTAATTCAATTCTTGCTAAAGATTAAAAGTTCTTCCTCAATAACTATTTGTTCTTGAACACAAATTGAAGATTAATTCCAAACTCTTGCTGTCTTTAAATTTTTTTGATAAATTAATTTTTTAAAAATTATTCAGTTCTAAAAATGATTAAATAATACAGAAAAATTATAAAAAATTGAAAGACAAAATAATCTTATTACTAAGATATTCAATAAAATTACCTTAAATGTTTAGTTCCACCTAAACCACAAATTAAATTTCCTACATAAAAAAGTGGTATAGGCCAAATCTAAAAAGAAAAAAAAAAACTCAAGTCAGAATTATAAATGCTATATATGTCCAATTATAAAAGAGGATATCAATAAGAATAGTTCTCTTGGTTTAGATTAAATGATAATTTAACTTCACTGATTACAATTAAGAATTTATTTTTTATTATTTGATTTAGTTTGTGACATTTTCTGTACTGTTCTTTCTGTGCACTAGAAGGAACTTTTTTCCATACCTACTGTTAGTTCAACCATGCCCACAGTGGGGATGGCTGGGTGATAAGGAACAGGGGCCAACATATCTAGGACAGATCATCCAAGAAAAATTCCTGGGAAGTTGCTCACCTGGATTTGATCTCAAATCCCAGAGATAGGCTACATCTAAACCATCTTGACCATCCAGCTACCTTTATCTAATTCAATGACTAAACAGCTTAATTCAAGCAACAGAAATACATTTTAAAAACTTTCAGTCATATGATTGAAACCACTTCTTTTATTCCAACATTAATAGTAGTATTACAGTAATACTATCATTAACTTTAGCATATAGGTAATACTATTGTACATAATGCACATTATAGTTACAGTGACCATATTTTTTTGGGGAAAATAAAGGACATATCGATAAAAATCAAAAAATACCTTATAAAATTCATAAGTTTATAACATTTATTACGAAAATAGTAGCATACAACAATGCATACATTAAAATTTTAAACAATCTGAATTATTACACATACACACATTGTAAAAATTTAAACAACATTAATTTTGATACTTTTCAGTAGAATTAATTTTTTTATATAGCGCCGTTTTACGCTTTAAAGTCATAAAATTCCATACAGTTCATTTGAAAGTTGTATTTGATGGAAATACATGCTTCTAATGTGCTTACTTTTAAATCAGTTTTTTTCATTCGTCCACATATTATTCACCAATGAAAATATTCATTCGATGGGGGCATTAGATCCAGGGAGACAAAGAAAATTCTACAATTTTATTTTTTACAAATGTTTTTGAAAACAATTTCTTTTGCTGTAAAATGTTCAAAAATCTCAATCCACCTTTGATGGCAGGGCTGGTTATTCTGTCGCCATTCGTCGATCTTTTTGTTTGTGACATATTTTTTTTACACATGAAACTTCATCAAATAATTCACCATCGAGTATATTTATGGACCAATGATTCAAAATAAAGATATAGCTTTCCTCTACTTTCGCCCACAAAGGGACTTTGCATAATGTGACCCATTCAAACATCTCTATTTCAATAAAAAACATGTCCCAATTATTTAGATAATCTATGCACGTTTGATAAAATGTGTACACAGCATCATTGCATTTTTTGGCTTGTATATTTTCTGATTTTTCTAATGCTAAAACCACTTTTCTAATAACAATAGGAAGAAATCCCTCATTTTTTCTTTCAAATAACTTCAGCTTTAATTAACAAGTATATCATGCTCCAACTAGAGAGTTAAAAAACTATCACAAAAATTCCCATAAGAGTGTCCACCCCTTGGTACTGTCAGTGGACCATTTGGTTGGTGACACACTGCACTACTGCGCTCTATGTAACAATGCAACACTGGTCGTGATGGCATATACAAAACTAACTTGTTCAATATATTATTAAAAAAAATTTTTATAAACTTTGTGTTAACTTTACAAAATAAAGGACAAAATGCCTATTTTAGAAAATAAATAAAGTTAAAGGACAGAGCAGTGAAATAAAGGACTGTCCTCTTAAATAAAGGATGTATGGACACTGTAATTATAGTATATATTATTATTAGTAGTAGTAAAGGGTTCATTCATATGAAAAAATAATCATAAAAATATCTTGAATAATTCATTTTTCCTCTTTTAGTATGTTTTGATTTTAAAATAAAGAAAAATATGTTCAAAGAGTTTGAGCATATTTTTCTTTATTTTAAAATCAAAAATTTAAAGTTACAAAAAAATATTCAAGTCTACAATTGAAATTTCACATAAAAAAATTATTTTCATTCACAAAGGACAATTTTGTTCTCATTGGAAAATACTATATTACTGTGGTGTGAGATGTATAATATACACCTGTTTTTAATAAATAGGATTAATGCTTTAATGGTTTGTCATTTTACACAAAAACTCTGTTCCCACTTTCTTCTTTATGACTCCTGGTGTCCAGAATATGCAACTTAGAAATTCAATAAATTACAAAAATTATCATAATTACACTTACAGACAGTTATCCTATCACAAGCTCTAAAACAAAAAGCTAATTGAGTGAGTTATTTAAAATTTGATTATAAAAATCATTTAATTGATTCTCATAATCATTTACCCATCATCAATTATTATAAACTAATGTCTATACCAGGGGTGGCCAACCTGCGGCTTGCGAGCCACATGCGGCTCTTTGAAGGATTATTTGTGGCTCTCAATAAATGTACCCAAGTTCCCTTTTCATTTTTGTGTTATTATATTTTAAAAAATTATTATCGTTCCGTATGTATTTCAAAATGTCTTTTAAATTACTAACAACAAATATGAAAGACTAAGTGCAACGTTGTAACAAATTTCATTTCCGTCCAAGTTAAGAATGATATGACTCATCGAAAACTGTGCGAACGAACATAAACAGTGGCGTAATCGTCCGTTATCGACCTATTCCAGACTGACTTTGAATTTGTAAACTGTCATTGCAACGGACAGTTGACATTATGCTCTGGAGGAAACAATTTGTATCACTCTTGCTACGAATATAATTTGTAATCTGGAATTTTTGCATACCTTTTTAATACGTATTTAATTGCGGCTCGCGAAAAATTTCAATTTTGAAAAATGGCTCGGACTATCAAGGAGCTTGGCCACTCTGGGTCTATACTATAACAGTTATATTCTTACATTTAATTTAAACCTACAAATTAAACCTGTATTAAATTAATGTAGAATAAAATTGACAAATTAATTAATATTAGAAAGAAATCATCAATATGTTAAAAACTGGACACATTTATTTTTTATTTTCATTAATAATAACAAAATTGTTACAAATATAAATTTCAAACTTACTTTATTTGGTATGTCAAATGACAAGGATGGAAAACTCACAATACGTAAACTCCTGCCTAAATATAATACAACAATGGTTGCGATCATCTGTGAAAACAAAAATTAAGCATCAGTTTTTATATTGTTTAATATCATTTCTAACAAGTATTTAATACAAAAAAAAACAATTAAAAAAAGCATTACAATTATTTAAAAAGTTATAAAAATTGATACATATAACAGAATGTTTCAAATAGTTATTTTGGAATCTAGTAATTTATTAGAGAAATTCAGAAGTATGTGCATGTTTTTTCTTATAAATAACGTATTAATTCAATAATTTAATAATAATCTTCCCAAAGACTTTGATATAGTTTCTGTCATCAGTACTAACTAAATTTTTAATCATTACAAAAGCATTTGTTTACTGTAATTTTGCTAGATTAAAAAATTTCTGCTAAAAATTAAATTAAGTTATTCCTCTAGTACTGTCATTGTCCAACATTCTGCCCAACTGAAGTTTTTCTATGGCCCTTCTGAAGTGTGCAGCTATATATATTTTGCATTTTGTTATTCATAAAATTTTAAAAAATTTTTATTGCACATAAGCAGATTTAGCAAGTAAAAAGCCATGAGCAAATAGATAATTAATGACCAATATTAGCCAATGACAAATGACTGAAGGTAAGTCCTATGTATGCCAATGCAAACTGCTTCAACTCCAATCTGGTCAAATTCTTCTGCTTGGGTCAGCTTAGTCCAGTTTTTTGAAGTAGCAAAACTGTGCTGAAGATCCAATCAGTTGGAACATTTCTATATACTGGAATAAGACATAGATTAAATTGAGTAGCAGCTCTAGCAGTTATATTTGAATATTCAAAATGCATTGAGCATGCACATTTCATGCAAGTATAAACTTAATTTAAATTCCATGAAGACACTGAAACTATACCTATTGATTCAGTGTGTGAGTGGTCTGTCTTGAGTATGTCCCATCTTTACCATCCAGTTGTCACCATTGTGGGCCTGAATGAACTCATGATGGATATAATTAGAAAGATCCTCTTAATGCTCACAGAGCAGAAAGTCAAAAATGAAAGAAAGAAAAGTCAACAACTTTTACTGATTGAAAGAAGGACAACTGAGGAGATTGGAGTGGATTGATAGGATAAGGCAATGCAACACAGAAGTGATCTACCATAGGGAGGTGTCTCCCAGGAGAATTTTCTATGGAAAAACTATCCTCTATTTAAGTGTTAGACACTGGTCTGCTCATTTATGAGTCATAAACCCATCACCAACTACTATTATTTAGGGATGTTATCCAGTTGGTCACTGGTGGGCTAACAATAACTGTAACAGCAAGTTGTTATATTGCTATGAAATTTGCATTCCTCATTCAATTTAATACCCATTTAAGAAATAATCACAATCCTATTTTATATCATATAAGTGCATTTTAATTATTGAAAGTAAAAAATGATGTATAGCACATTAGATGGGCTAATTTGGCCCGTGTTAGCATTTTAATTAATTCTGTTTCTTTACTGTTTTGTTTTTTTTTCATACATTATTAAGGGAGACAAGTCATATGATTTATGGTATTTATAAACAGTGTATCAGAATAATTCAAATGTGACAATGATTACTTCTATAAATGATTATTTCTTAATAGAAAATAAAAATAAATTATTATTTCTTAAAAATTGCTATTTTAATTAATACTGAAATGTGTTATTTTACACACAATACTTTTAAAATTAGAAGAAAAAATGTAGACTCTTACTGAATATGAAATACACTACAGTAGATCCCCCTATAAAACCGTTTCCTATAGTTATGATTCCTATAAAAATTGTGGCAGTATCCGTAAACAACGGTAAAAATAACTCCTATAATACGTAAAACGTCATCGGGCAGCCGAACTACTTTCCCGCCGTCCGTAGCGCCACGCTACGGACGTTTAGGCGGATAAATTGAGTTTAGTATCGTCTGTTCATATAATTATATATAAATTAGGTACTGTACATATAATTATATATTAATTATATATAAATTAGGTACTGTATATATAATTATATATTAACTTAATTTATTGTAACTTTATTATAATTAAATATATATTTTTCGCCGTCTAGCGTCACGCTACGGCGAGTTAGGCGACCTATCGTCTGTCCAGTACTGTAATTTTATACATTTCTTGTGAAAGAAACATTTCTTATTTAACGGCCATAAAAATTATTTATATTAAGGATGTCTCCAAAGGTCAACGAAGTTTTCGCAGAAAAATAATATCAGAAATCGCGGCCGCGGTTTGATGCGCTGTTCCGCGACGAAACCAAGCTTTAGCAACGGGCGTAGTCGAACGGTACACACTCGGTAAGCAATCCTACAATTTTTTGTTTATAACGTAGTTTATACGGATTATTTTCAAAAAAATATACGTATTTTGGAAATGTTGAGTCGAATTAGTCTAGAATCGATTAATTTTATGAAAGAAAACCTTTCAAACAGCCGTAGTCCGTAAACTATGATTCCTACAAAATTGATTCATAAAGAACGGAACGTATCTACCGTCTTATAGGGGGATCTACTGTAAATGATATCTGAATTATGATCACCTATCTAGTAAGTCTTAAATCTTTTTCTTTTGCCTTCAGTACAGCAAAATTCTGACATGGCACTGATTCAACAAAATGTCTGAAGCATTTGGGAGATATGACAAACCAAGCTATGTATAGTGCAACCTGCAATGCAGGTATAAAGGTGATTGGTGTATCCAGATGCTTGGTGTGGTTTTCTGTAATGTCCCACAAGTGCTCTATAAAATTGCCATTTGGAAGTTCAGAGGATAATTGATATTCTGAAAGTCAGAACTGTCTCTCTCAAATCATTCCTTTACAACAAGGATTTGATGTATTGACACACTGTCATCTTGGAAGACACAATTGCAAAGTGTAACATAACAGGATGTAAAAAGTCAGCAAGCAATTGACAATAGCAAAGACAATTCATATTCTGTTCTATGTAAATCAGGGGTCCAAGTTCCTACCAACTAAACACAAATAACACCATACAACTGTCTTCACTAATCTATACTGTTGATGTCATATGTAATGAATCAAGAGGCTCATGTTGACACTAAATATATATATGACCATCCATAAAATGGAGTAAAAAATATGAAACACCTGGCACATCCTCTTCCAGTCTTCTAACATCCAACTTGCATGCTCTTTGCATCAAGTCAGTCTTTTTTACACCAATGAACATTGGTTAAGAGAGGATTCGATAGTGACAGTCTGCTGGTATAGTCCATACATGTAAGCATGCCCCATATGGTTACATCAAATATTGTTATCAATTTGGCCTGTGTTGTATATGGTACTCAACTATTGAACAGTGATGTGTTCACCTGTATGACTTGTTAGACTAGAATTCAACCTCTATCATAAACTTTTCACTGTCCTTGATAGTTTTTCATCAGGCCATCAGGATAAATACAACTATGTTTCAAATTTTGAACATAGTTGTATTTGTCCTATAATATATATAGCAAAGCCAATTAGGCTGCAGAAAAGCTGAAAATCTTTCTTTGATACAAAAATTTATCATTGGTTGTCTTAAACAAGCAGTACACTTTATCCATTGTGGCTCTGTTTTGTTCTTCTAATTGTAATTACTTTATTTTAATATTAAACTTGTTCTATCTGTTTTAAATGGTTGATTACTCGGTATTGCCAACACCTTATCACAACTCACTAATCCTCCCACTCATTTACAACTTAAGCCATCCCGACGCAAAGCTGGTAAGAAGGGCCTGAGCTCACTGGTTGACCCCCCTCGGTTCTCACATAATGAAGTAATACCGTCGCAAGTCATATGGCAACCAAATCTGCCAAACAGTTGTGAACAATGCAAAATTGACATTCTTGAATTCCAATTAACATTTTTATGCATTGCATTGATGTTTTCATTTGTTCTGCCACTCCTCAGCTTACCAGATATCAGACAATTAAAAACTGCCCCAGTCTCTTCAAATCTGGTGAGATTAGATTACAAATTGTGAGCTCTGTTGGGATCATGTATGCTGAACACATCACGTAATCTTTAATATTTTTTAAGGCACACTCATTTTGGTAATAAGTTTTACAATAAGAATACATTCTTATCATGTATATGTAACCATGAACAAAATTGTCAAAGGTTATGTATGATGCATATTACAAAAAAGCATTGATTACAGATGGCCATTGTGACATATGTATAATTGAAATACTAGAGTCCTTTTTGGAAGATCTTTTATGAATAATACATGACTTTGAAATATTAATTTGGTCAAATTTTACTTACGTGCACCGTCATGGCTGAGGTTGCAACTGTTTTTGCTCACAACTGACTCCTCCCGGAGGGGAGCCGCCGGCAGGCCACTGTGTGTATAATGTCACTTGTTATTGATTCATGGTAATTCTTGAACACATGTATCAGTAACTAGTGACGTTATACACTCGGCAGCCTGCCGGCGGCTCCCCTCCAGGAGGAGTCAGTCGGGAGCACAAACAGTCGCAACCACAGCCATGACAGTGCATGTAGATAAAATTTAAACATTAATTTCTAATGTATAGTATGCATAGTATTAGTATATGCATTTTTAGTATGCTTGAAATTAAATCAGAACATAATGAATGTTATATACCGAATTAGACATTAAAAACTTACCTGACCAATCCCTAAAGCATGAACGGAAGGGAATCTATAAAAACAACCAAATTTAAATATTGTTTTAAAGAAAACTTTTGTTTAAAAGATTAAACTTAACTTACTTATATGTAGTTAAAACTATTTTATTGATGACAATGATTAGAAATGATGAAAATCCATACAACAGTGCAGAAAATACACGTAAATATAATGGACTGGTTGATTCACAATTCTCCATCAACATTTTCTGGTTATTTTCACACTGTACCGTTTCCTGAATTTCGCTGATGCATTTACATTCAGAGCCAGTCATTCTATCATCGTCGACTCCATCTGACAATTATAAACATACGAAACTCACGCATTTCATTTTGTTCGCCATTTCTAATAACTTAGCGATTACACTGCCATCTACTTTGTACAATATTATTATATTAAAAAAATAAAATAAATAAAATTTTATATAGCAAGATCCGTAAAGATTACATTATTATTATTATAAAGTAAAGAATAGTTGAATATTTATTTTGGTAAATAGTTAAGATTTTAATTCACATTCTAATTTATATGATACTAGCATCCCCGTCGCGGCCTGCCCGCTCTTATATACAGTACATATAGAACTTAGAAAATTTGAACTAATTGTTCATTAATTATTTTTGAGTGATCAATGTGTAGTATTGCAGTAGAGTTTTGCAAAATATAAAAAAATAAAATCATAAAACTTCTGAATAAGTTATATTAATGTAAAACCTAAAAAATTCCTCGCTACACGCATTCGATTCTGAGCCGAACGAATTCGTTGCCCTTCCAGTCTTTGCTGTAGAAATGTAGATTCACGTCGTCTACAATTATGAACTGTTTCTTCCTATTCGTGCTGTTGCAGCTCTCGGAATTATTTATTAATCAATCTCAAAAATATTCACCAATAACTATTGCGAATATTTTGTACAATTACCTGCAGAAACGATTCGAAAACCCGCCATAAGTACTATACACATACGGCCATCTAGCGTGATGACGTCACTTTTTTAATTCCTCAAAGATTTTGCTAATTAACTAATTATAATTTAATGTCAGTTCTTCAAATATAATAGTAAACTTCAATAATAGACTTTCTTATAGACAGCGTGTGTCGCCATCTAGTGAAGAGAGAGAGAGAGAAATAGACAGACAAAAATCCGTTGCAGTTTTATTTAATTAATAAAAAATCTGTAGGTTTGATTAATGGTAAACATTCCAGGAATTATAAAGATGCTACAGTTGAAGTATGGTAACGATTGGTTCAGTAGTTTTCACAGTTAGTGGTCACAAACGAAAAATACATTGTCTCTTTATATAGTAAAGTATAGAGTATAGGTATACACAGTGCCGGCCCGAGGCAAGTTTTAGGATGGAGCGAGATCCTATTATGGCGCCCCCTTGGTCAGTAGTGTAGCGAACATAACTGGCGCTCGGGGCACGACACTTTATTGGCGCCCCCTCCAGAACACATATAGTTTGTCTTGGAGACCATTTGGGCGCCCCTCTGCGAGTGGCGCCCGGTGCTTGATGCACCCCCTCACTACGCCACTGCCCTTGGTTGTCCCCAAATTTATACCCTTTAATTTTCTTTACCACTGAGGCGCCCCCTAGGACTTAGCGCCTGGAGCGGCTGCTCTTTTCGCCCTATGGTAGGGCCGGCTCTGGGTATACATATAGATATAGACTATAGTAGATACTGTATAGTATAGATATAGATGATAGATATTACAGATAAAGGTGCTAAATCCAGTTCCAAGAGTTCTGGAAGTGTTCCTTCGGAACTTCTTACTGTTAGTTTGTTAGACTAGACGAGGAATGGCAAATCTTTTTAAATCCGCGTGCCATATAATAAGTGTACTTATCGTTTAAAATGTTTATATGTGCCAAAAAGACTTCAAATAACTATGTTTTTATTTATTTATTTTTCATTTTCATTTTATTTAAATAAATAAAATGAAAATGCTTCAATTAGAGTAAATGTAAAAAAGCTAATTAAAAAAAATGATCAGATGATAAACCGAAATCGTATGATATGTTACGTGCCAGATGATTTTTCCGACGTGCCACTTTGGGCACGCGTACCATAAGTTCGCCACCCTGGACTAGAGACAGTCAGATGACCGAGCGGTCAAGGTGGCAGCCTACCGCTCTGGGCACCCGGGATCGCATCCAGACGGGTCGAATAATCCCCAGGAATTTTTCGGAGGGTGGTCCGTTCGGATATGTCGGGTGCTATCTCTCATCACCCGGCCGCCCCATTGTGGGCCTGGGCTTGCTAAAAGGGTGCTGGGTGGACAGGCGGACTCCAGGAGGGGTCGTGTGGAAGGAAATCCGACTTGCATTCTTGAAAAAGTAGCCTTTACACTCACTTCTAACCCCAAGATCACTAATCCGATGCCCACCAATGGCCGAGTGGATAAAACCACTGAACACTGGTATTTGGTTGTGGGTTCGCGCCTCGCCAACAGGCTGGCCACGTGAAGTTTCCGGGTTTTCTTCACATTTGTATTTTAATAGGAACCAGTTTCCCCATAAAAGATCTACCGGGAGGCATTTCCCTAAGAAGATCGTCCATTTGTCACATTGCAGTAATTCAATAAAACCGAAATATAGTACTAACCCGATGCCCAGTCCTGGTACTCAAGAATTTTATGTCAACGAGTCGTTGACAACGACTAAAGGGTCATTTATTAATGAATCTAGGCTGATTTGATATTAATGTAACATTCTGACATTATAACAAGAGAGTAGTCAAATGATTGAGGGCAACGACTTTTTAAAACAAACAGATTAAACTTTGAAATTTGTTTTAAACCAAACGCATTCATAAAGGAGCAAAATTTATAAAATTATAACTCAACAAAAAAGATATTGCCTATAAAAGTTTATTTAAAAAATGCTATAAGAAATATAAAAAGTTTATTAAAAGCAGGGCTGTGGAGTCGCGTAAAAATCTACCGACTCCGACTCCGACTAAGGGCGAACTTGTTACCGAAAGAGACCCGGAAATTCTGATGTCATCACGTGACCTCAGAATAAAAGATTCAATAAATAAAGTTCTAATAAAGATAGAGCGTAGAAACTTTTTATTCCAAAGCTAAAAGACTTCTCTAAGTAATATATTTATTCGATAATTTTTACTTTTCTGGCTGTTATATATAACAGAGGAAAAGTGTAGCGCTCGGTCAAAAAATGACCTCCCAAATTTTTACATTTTTGGACTCAGGACACCTTGAAATTTCGAGATATGCAAAAGATTCGAGGTTTTTTCTATATGTGTGGATGTTAGACTTGGTTATTTCTATATGTGTGTGGTGGGCATGATTTCGTTCACCCTGTTTGAAGCCTAATAATTTCTGTGGTCAGAGTGGTCAGAATCGGAGTCGGAAGGTTTAACACAGGAGTTAGTTATTAAGTGTCAAAGTGGTTGAACTAAATCATGTCCCCATAAACATTTTAAAGTCTTAGGCGAGAACATCTTAACGGGTTTTACTAAACATTACTATTATAAAATGGCAAAAAAAGCTTACTTTGAGGATAGAAACGAATTTTATTTTATTTTTTTAAATTTTGAACGCTAATAACGAGTAAAATATTCATTAAGAGATATGACACGACCACTTTTATGTCTTCACCCTGTCGACCTTTAATTAAGAACCAAAATTTAATAGTATTAATGCCCCTTTATACGTAAGCTACAGTGCCACATTTCGTTTCTTAAACTTTCTGAAATATTGTTTAATATCTCAGAACAGAAAATAAAGAAATTGAACAAATTAGACGCCAACACACTCACGCGCGCGAATTTTTCCCCTTTATTGACTTTTTTGAGGGGTTCGGGAGGTCTTCAAACGTGTAGATTTGCAAAAAAAAACTTGGAGGGTCAAATTTGACACGATTCCAATACTTTTCCGTTTTATATACATAACAAGTTGGTAAGTAAAAAGGAGTCGGAGTCGGCGGATTTTTGACGACTCCGACTAAAACACCAAAACTCCACGACTCCGACTCCACAGCCCTGATTAAAAGCATTCTTATTCATAATATGAACATTTTTGTAAGCTACAAATGAAGAAAAAAGAGAAGATACACTTTGCTGAAGTGTCCATTTTTTTTTCAACTCTTTCCGCCCTGTGGGCACTAAGATAACATCTTTTAGCAAGCCCATTATGTGCATCAGATCTACAACGGATCGGAGGGTGGTGTGGGACGGGGCTTGGCATACGGGTCCGAAAAATTTCCAAGAATTTTTTGACCCATCCAGATTCGATCGAAGGGTCTTCCAGAAGAATAGATTGCAACCTTGATCGCTCGGCCAGTTTATTGTAATTACGGTAGGTTATTCTCTTCACGTTTCTTTGATAATTTACCTATTCCGTTTACTAGGTACATGATTTCAACGGTACCGGACTAACCAGATTTTTCTAACAGGAATGGCATTTTTTCCATTTATGGCGGATAATCGAGTTTATTATAGTCTATTTTTATTTTTCCGGCTTTGATATACAGTACATATCAGAGGGAAATATTCCCCCAAAAAAATGTTTACATTTTTAGACTCAGAGGACCTTGAAACGTCGAGAAATGAAAAAAAAATCGGAGATTTTTCTATATGTATGGATGGTTCGTAGGTGTGGAGCACGATTTTGTTTACTCTCTTTGATGCTTAATAACTCTTATGCTTTTTGTTGAAAATTTCTGAAATTTTGCAGGGAAATTTGTGTATTAGGAGGAATTTTTGCTATTAAATTTTGGTGATGAAAGATCAAGGGGGTAGGCAGATATAGGGGGTCGTGTGTGTCTCCAGTAGGGTCAAACTTAATGACAGTTTTACTCGTTATTAGCATTTACAATTTTTTTATAAAACTTATTTCTACCCTCAAAATTAAGTTTTGCCATTTTATAATAATTAAAAATATAGAAAGTTTTTAAATAAATATCATTAAATATATTAATAATATGATTTCAATAAATATCATAACAGATGGCGCCAGACACGCATTTTTTAAACGTTGCCGGGAAAGTTAACCAACTCGTTGCTGGAATATTTTTAGAAAATAGAGACAAGCTTAAAGTAGTACATAATAATTATATAGTGCATCTGATATCTGATATCTCAATATATCTAAAATTTATTTTTATTAAATTTATATTTATCTAAAATTAATAAAATTTGCTAGTCGATTTAGTTTACACTTGTCTATATGTAAATTATATCAATACATTACTTTTTCAAGTTAAAAAATAATTTAATATATTTCTATTTATGCATAAAATAGTTTATTTAATTTTTTAACCAAATATTGTAA